TCGACTAAAGAAACGAATAGAATACAAAGTAAAGTCAAAAATAAAAAACAAGCTACATTTCATAATAAAAAGATTAAGTAATTGTAATTCAAATTATTGACATAGAATTCTATAAAACAAACTATTTTTATACTTTCTCTGTAAAATTACTTTTTGGTTATGAACACAGAATAATAATTATATAATACAAACTGGTCGCGCAACGCGCGACAAAGACAAGCCTAGGCACGATGACATACACTAGTTTATAATATATTTTTGCTATAACTATAAATCTTAAATAAATCATGCAAACAATAATATTAATAATGTAACTATCCTTATTACTCAATAAAAACAAAAAAAAAATCTAGAAACAAACATTATATTATTGATTTATATTTTTATTATAATATTGATATATTAGTTTATAGTTATAGTTTATAATACTATAATAATATATAAGTTATAGTTATATTAATTAATCTATAAGATTTACTATAGTTCCGTATTAATAGTAGTTATAGATCATTAGTTATGTATATATATATATATATATTCATTTTTTTGTTCACTATAACTATTAATGTATAGTGGCATAATTAATTATAGAATATAATGGAGGTTTATCCACTAGAATAATAGTGAAAAATAAAATAATTATTATAATTTTTTCAAGAAATAAAAATTTAAGGAAAGTCATCCAATTTAGGCAAAAAAAAAAAAGAAGAAGAAAAAAGATGAAGACTATGCAATAATGAAAAAAACAAAGTAAACACTATATTATAGGGGGGGAAAAATACAAACAAACTTCTAGCGAAATGTTGCATATGGTATATAGAGAGATGGAAAAAAACAAAAATACATTTATAAAAAAAATAATGAGAAAATTTCCTATTAGGAAGAGAGATTAAAAGATATGACATGGGTAGAAATATTTGGAGAGATTGTTATGAAAAATTAAGAGAATACTTTTAAAAGAAATAAAGCCATAAATTAACAAAATGAAATAGATGAACAATAAGTTACATTAGATGATTTCGAATATTAAAATTTATTCTAAATGCACGTAACATAGTGAAACACATTGACATTAAATATTACCCAATTGCAACTTATATCATTAATGTTTTTTTTTTACATATATCAAATAACCAAAAATGTCATATAATCGTTAAATAATTAAATTCATATATATCTTGAACAACCTGCACAACGTGCAGGGTAAATACTAATATATATAAAGTTACACCTAATTACATTAAGTAGTAATAATGCAACTTTTTCTCTCGACTATTTTAGTTTTTGTTTAATTTTGATAAAGAAAGCGTAACAAATGATGTGCGTTCCAAACATACTTATTGATTGTACTAGTCCACGTACAATAATTGATAATATTGTATTTTTCATTCATAAGTTTTATGACTTTATCGACACTGTTAACGTATAATTTTTTAAGTTTAATTGAAAATATACACTGATAGGTAAATACTAATACAAAAATTTACTCTTTTTAAAAAAATAAAATAAAAGGATCTATCATTAAGAATGACAGGATGTAAAGGAAAACACACGCCTATGGGCTGCTTCTACTTCATCCTTACCTACCTTGATAATATTAGTATATCCATTAAACCTATTTTTAAGTGAAAGTCCAACTCAACTCAACTCAATTCCGATTCTCAAAAAGTTGATAGTTTGAATGCAAGTTTTTTAAGCTGCCGGTGCACATTTCTTCTTTTTTTTCTTTTGTTTATGCTTTTGTGATATACACTTAAATCGCCACTTCTTATTGTCTAATCGATATATGTGTCAGATTTTTGTTGCTACTGGTCCTCATTTTCTGGTGTCTTGGTTTCGGCGATTGCAGTGCTTAGTGGTGTGTTAATTAACAACTCTTGATTTTCACATTTCAGTGGGTCAATTATCAAGTAGACGTCGAAACAGAACAATTGAACGTTTGGTGTAGAGTTGCCACTGTGTTTACTATAGCGTTGCCGTCACCGCCTTCTTTTCTATGTATCTGGCTTCTTTTGGTTCTATATGCTTCATGTCGTTATGTTAGCTTCAAATTCATGTTTGCCTCCTTACTTACACTCGTGTTAAAGAGGTGGATCTATGATTGGGATAATGATAGTTTGTCTAAATTTTGTTATTTCATTCAGAGCTCTCATATATATTATTTTAGGGTTGTGATCTCCATTGATTTTGGCACTTGCAATCACGCTTTTCTGATATCTTAAACAACTTATCACTTCCAACTTACTTTGAAAACATTTACTTTGGAAACATGTTTTTCCACTAACCACTGAAAATCTGAGTGATTTTTTCTTTGTGGTTTGGGAAAATAAGGTTTCGTAACTATGATGGATGTATTGCGATCTTCATTATAATTATTACTCCCCCGTCCCATAATTATTGTCCAGTTTAGATTTTCATTTTTAATTCAAATTATATTAAAAGTGAAATCTCAAACTGGACAATAACTTTGGGACAGAGGGAGTATTTTTTTGGTGGAGGTGGAACTATCATCGGTTTCTTGCTTGTTGGTGGAACGAAAATGATGAAAGGGAAGAATCTATGGAAGTTCGTTTCTGGAGTTGATCGAAGAGGAAGTTCTGTGCTCTCTTATTGTTAAGGCTCCAGTGTAAAATGTAGAGGGAGATGCAGCTTGGAACAGTTCAAAAGATGCTTTGTGAACTGTAGTTTCTTGGCTTTTCTTTCCAGATGCATGTATTAAGCCTTAACATCTTTAGTTATTGTTTTCTAATTATGAATTCATCCATATCATTGATCTGCATAAATTATAACTATTATATTTTCGATTATATATGATTATTTTGCTATCAAAATGTCTCATCAGTGGAGTTGCTTCGTCCCCATTAAGAAAAAATATCCCATCGGTAGTCTGCAATTTTATTTTTTAACATAGTCGTGGTTTGATTTGTTTATATTTATATATATACTAGTGATGTCTGGTCGCGCAATGCGCGACCCTGGCCCAGTCTATCTGTAGATCTTAGAAATATTTATATTTGAAAAAAATAAAATTTTGTATTTGTAGCGATATATTTTAGAAATGTTTGAAGGAATTAGAAATGTTTTATAAGTGTGATCATAGAAATATTTGTATTTCACACAAAAAAAGAGAAGAAATTGTATTTCGCCATATATGTTTTAGAAATGTTTTATAAGTGTTACTTATTAAATATAAATAGTCTTAATCGAATAAATATGTTGAAGTAAATGTTAGATAAAATATAAAAGCATCCTAATAAATTTAAATATTAGTAAGATGATTTATTGATGTTCTCCATTGGTCGTGCCAAATCAATACTTAGTTTTGGAGATTTTTAATAGTTTTGTAATAAGCTTCATCCGAAGGGTATACGCTTAAAACAAAGTTGACACTTTGTAACAAAAACCTAATTGATCAATTCAATTTAAAAAACCACTCTAGTTGAATGAAATATAAAGAAAAAATAAAATAAAAAAAAATGTGTCACGTAAAGTGCAAAGAGAAATTTAGTAATTTAGTTATGGTTAGACAAAAAGGCAATTTAGTACTTTTTACATGCCACGTGGCAATCATATGAGGTGTTTGAAAGGGAGGTTTTTGTTTCTAATATAGTAGGATATATATATATATATATTTGTTTATATATAATAATTTTTCCTTAGTTTCGGAGCCGAAATTAGTTTGTACAGTGCTTGGATTTTTCATTAATGTTGTTTCATGTATAACAATGGAAAATCATTTTAACTACAATTTCGCAGATTATATAATTCTAGCATATCTTGAAATCTATTTCCAAAAAACAAAATATTCATAAATGACTTTTATAATATTTTCAGAAAAATCTACTTATAGAGGATCATTTATTTCCTATTGTGATTATGTGATTTATATCCTAATCACATACTACAACAAAGATGACATACGTATCTATTATGATGTTGCAGGTTACGTCCTCCATTGTCTATCCAACTTTTCTATTTTAATAATACATTAAAATGCTTTTAAAAATTCCCGTAAATAATTTCCTGTGACGAATTGCACCCGCGAATTACATCTCAATTTTTATTTTATTTTTTTTGGTTAAATACATCTCAAAATTTGAACAAGGAAATTATCTCACATGGCTAAAAATTACAGAAAATCCTAACGCTATGTTGATTGGTTTGTTCGGCTATAAATACCACATGGTTATTGTCATGTTTGCACACCCTCACTTTTTTTTTCTTTTTTTTCTTTTTTTGGTGACAATGCGCACCCTCACTCAAACAATGACATACGAATATATCAAAATAAATATATGTAATTATTCTGATTCCGATATCGGTATAAATAGATGATTCTCTCAACTTAATACTATATCATGACCTCTGCCGGTGACGTTGCTCCAAATATATTCATCGTCCGGTGAATTTCCATTCACGTAATATTCCGCTTTTTTTCTCTTAATAGTTTCAATAATGACAGTTTTAAATAATTTATTAATTAAAAAAATTTATAATAATCAGATCTCTATGCGCCGCGCAAAGCACGGGTAAGTACTAGTTTCAGTTAAAGAAGTATTATCACATGAATTATCTATTTGTCTTCGGAGATGATCTACCCAATCATACTTGAATGGGATTAGGAAAATAAAGCTTAGCTTTATGCTTGATGAGCCTCAGACAATTTCTTCTAGTATGGCTGCTGTTTGTCCTGTCATCGATGATTGAAGCTTAAGAATGTTAACTATTAATATTATTCATAATAATTTAAAATTACAAGACAAAAAATATTGAACCTAAGATTAGTAAAATAATAATAATAATAATAATATTGAGACATGACAATGATTGGCTATCTCAAATATTGAATTATCTTTAGATTAAAAAAAGAAAGAAAAAACCCGAAATTTTGGCCTAACTTTTTCTTTAGAGCCCATTTTCATTAACTTCATTTATCACCTCACGTAGTAGCTAAACATTTTTTTGTTGTTTTATTAGGTCACTCTCTAGTCAATGAAAGTATTACTAATTCGTTCCACTAAAATACAGTTGTCCAAAAGCAACAATTTCCAATAATTGATTAGATAAATCTACAGTATTAGTATTAAAATATAAATTTTAATTTACTGCCACAAAAAACAGTCAAATAAATTTTTTTATTTATCTTTTTAATTACCACTATTAATATTAATATTTTCAACCTTTTTCTTGCTTAATTATTTTATTACCCTTTATTAAAAACCTTTCCCAAATTCCCATCTTTTCAAAAAGAACCCTCAAAATATACATTAACCCCCAAGTGAATAAACCCTTCTTCTTCTTGAATCTCTGGTTTTTTACTATCCCTTTTCACCTTCATTCCCACCTCTTTGTCCCCTCTTTTCAAGAGGAGGGACTGAAGGGGTGCCCCAAAAAATCCATTTCAAGGTTCTATTTTTGCCCTCAAGATTTTCCCTTTTTTTCTTTTTGGTTCTATGTGATGGGTTCTTAATCTTGAAGCTTCTTTTGTTTCTTGAAATGCTGGGCCGCAGTATGTGACGTTTTATATAGATTGCAGGTTGTGGAAGGGAAGGAAGGAAGGAAGCATCTGGTTTCTGCCATCAATCTAGTTTACTCAGGTGATTTAATCTATCAGCTTACTTCTTTTGATATGTCTTTTCCGAGCCTAATCTCTAGCTTATGAATCACTTGAACTGATTGCTTTTAATCTGTTCTTGGGACAATTCGTTATACTTTGATGCCCTTTTATATCTGTTCATCGGATGTCGGAGTTCTTATTTATGATGAATCAAAATTAACGTTTTGGTGGATTCGGTGATATGGATCAAAATTTGAGTTTCGCTAAAAAAGAAAAGCTCTTTATTAGGAATGTCTTGTTATTTTGTTTTCCTCGGCATTTGATTTTGGTTGAAGTTTTTTTAGTTTGGTGGATGGTTTAGGTAATAATGGGGAAAAAGAGCAAAAAGAAGCTCAAAACTGGTCACAAGGAAAGAAAGGTTTCCTCTGCTTCACCTAGAGCTGCTCCTCAGCAAAGCAGCACTACTAGCAACATTGAAGCTACTGATGATGTTGCCACTGTTAAGGATAAACGTACTTGTCCGCATCTTGATAAAGGTGTTAATTTGGAGAAGATATCTGCTAAATTGAAGTCTTCAGAACCCATTAAATGTGAAGATTGTAGGGAAAGTGGGGGACGAGCGGGCAAGGGGAAAGCTGCTAAGCAAGGAAAGAAGAACGGAGGAGGAGAGTCGAGATCGAACTCTAAAGCAGTTTGGGTTTGTTTCGATTGCGGTCACTATTCATGTGGAGGTGTTGGATATCCAGCTCCTCAAACTCATGCTGCAAGGCATGCGAGACAGGAGAAGCATCCTTTGGCTCTCCAGTATGGAAAACCTCGAATCCAGTGGTGTTTCCTTTGTGAAATGTTAATTCACGTTGAAAAATCAAAAGACGAGGTTGACCAGAAAGACGTGTTACATGAAGTTGTAAAGATGATGAAAGTCCAGCCATCTGATTCCCCTGTATCAGATACAGGAGATGTTTGGTCTGGTAACGCCAGTGTGACCTGTGGTGTGATATCAGAAAGCACTTATACTTTAACTAGAAAAAGTTGTTATTCCGTTAAAGGTTTGGTTAATTTGGGTAACACCTGTTTTTTAAATTCAGTCATGCAAAACTTACTGGCCTTGAGTATGTTGCGCGAATATTTTTGCAAATTGGAAGGTTCCTTTGGACCTCTTACCGCTGCTTTGAAGAAGCTCTTTACTGAGACATACCCGGAATCAGGCTTGAAAAACGTTGTAAACCCAAGATCTTTTTTTGGTTCTATTTGTGCCAAGGCTCCTCAATTTGGGGGATACCAGCAGCAGGACAGCCATGAGTTGCTTCGCTGTTTGCTTGATGGTTTATCCACTGAAGAATTGAGTTCTAGAAAACTGGATAAGTCTTTCCAAGAAGATGGAAAATCAGCTCCTCTAGTTGTGGATGCCATCTTTGGTGGTCAGCTCTTAAGTTCTGTTACGTGCTGGGAATGTAAACACTCTTCATTGGTCTATGAGCCATTTTTAGATCTCTCGCTTCCAGTTCCAACTAAAAAGCCTCCTTCCAGAAAGCCGCAACAAACTGCAAGAGCCAAAAAGCCAAAAGCACCTCCAAAGAGAAATTCAAGGAATCGTCAAAAAATTTTTAGAGAGACAGATAATCAACCTTCCCAGGATGCTTCTGCGGATGGGCAATTGTCTTGCTCAATACAATCTTGTGCAAATGTTTCAGGACAAACTGTGGTTGCTTCTGGTGATTCCGCTTATTCGGTTTGCAGTGACGCAGGGGTTACGGCTGATAGCAATAGTTTAATGACTAACAGTCTTTCATCTACCCAACTTGCTCAATCCAGCAAAGCCTCTGAGAACGTTATAACTTCTACAAGTGATTGCTGGTTAGATGTTCTTGATGCTGATGCGGATAAATTTTTTCAAATGGAAGATCCTCCAATGGCTTTTGGTCCTCAGGGTGAAAATGCTGTACAAGATGATGTCCCGATGCAAGATTCTTTGGAATGCGGCGGGGAAAATGTACCAATACGGATAGATGCTGGAAATTGCTCCTCCCAAGGTGCATGGTTGGATCAAGAAGAGCAAGAGAAGTCTTTAAATGACCAAGCTATCAATTTGCCGCCAATTGAAAATTTAGCGATCGATGACTCTGGAGTAAGGAATGTTATTGAGGGGGAGGTAGAGGATGGCTCAGGATCTTGCAGTTTGTCTTGCTCCCAAAATCTGGATCTTGGGATTGAATCCTCAGAGAAAGTCTCAGAAGAGGAACCCCCATTGCTGCTTCAAGATTCTGAAGTTCTTTTGCTGCCATATAAAGAAGATACATTTGCTGCCAGTGAGATGCCTGAAACAGCTCTAGGTAATGATCATGATACAGTGGATTTTGATGGCTTTGGAGACCTATTTAATGAACCTGAAGTAGCGAATTCTAGTTTGAAGTCCTCTAAGATTGATAATGCTTCCAAGGAAAATCAAGGCTTAGGAGCTGGTTTTGGTGGAAATGCCAGTGAGTCTGAGCCCGACGAGGTTGATAACTCCAATTCTCCAGTTTCAGTTGAGAGTTGTTTGTTACATTTCACAAAACCAGAAATTCTTCTAAAAAAGGAGCATGCTTGGCAATGTGAAAATTGTTCAAAAGTTCTGCAAGAGCAAAAGAGGGAATTAAGGAAGAAACTTCAGAATTCTATGTTACAGCACGTGGTTAATAATAATGCTGATACAAGCACAACAGGTATGTCCCATTTATATTGCTCACCAGGGGACTTGTCCCAACCTTCTGAGGTCGGGCATTCTTGTAATGGCAATTCAGAAAGTGGAGTGCTTGATACATCTGTCAGCAGCGTAATGTTATATGATGGTGAAACTGAAGATAAGAGGGCTTGTATGCTTGAAACTGGTGAGGAAGCTGATAGTAATCCAGTGGCTTCCTGTTTGGCAGACCAAAACTGCGAGTTGGAAGCTCCTGCTTGTGAATCATCATCCTCTCAGGATGGCAATTTCTCTAATTTGAATAACTACAGAAACTGTAACGGTTGCCATGTTGATGAACAGAAATCTGATGGATTTTCTGATTGTGATGCTCGGAAGGAAGCAGTTCAGCCTGAAAATCTGAGTTGCGAAGCAGAAAGAGAAGATGATCAAGAGGAAAAACAGGAGAGAGTCAAAGTGGAAAGAGATGCAACTAAAAGAATCCTTATTAGCAGGGCCCCTCCAATCCTAACGATCCATTTGAAGAGGTTCAGTCAAGATGCTCGAGGTCGCTTGAGTAAATTGAATGGCTATGTGCAATTCAACCATACTATAGATCTAAAACCATTCATGGATCCAAGGTGCACTGCCGTCTTGAACTTGCTACTAAAAGTAGAATTTCATTCATTTTTTATTTGTTTTAGCTTCCTATAGTTGCTGACCTGTTCCACGCTCTGAAAGATGATGCACGACTAAATTTTCTTCCTTCTCAGTTTATTTTTTTCTCCATTATTTCTTTTGTTTGTGTGTGTGGGGGAGGGGTTTAAAAATTTGGAGAAGTAAACTTGTTAAAATAATCCTGCTCAGGTCATTGGTATCCAAAGACAAAGATTGTGATTTGATTGCTTCAAGCTTTTTGGAGCGAGAGGATATAAGTGCATTTTGAATTCATTTGATATAGTACTTATAAGCTAAATAAAGTGACAGCCTTTTGATTGTTTCATGAGCAAAGCAATTGTAGATATGAAATTACTAGACGAAAGAGCAGCATGCATTTGTTAATTTCTTATAAACGGTTAGATGTGAAGAAAATTCCTGCATGGTTGAACACTTAAGTATCAAGCATGCTGGCACTAGGGCTATTCTTGTTTATCCCAAGCTGAATTAGTTATTAAATTCTTGTCGAGCTGTACATATGAATCTCTGTACATTACTGAAGGGTATGCTTTCGCAAAATGTTTATGTTCCCATGGTTATAAGGGTTTCCACTTTAAGATTTTCGGGTGACTTGTATCTAAAGCCTAGACAGGCTTTAGATGTAGTAGAATGATTTAGGTCAGTGTATCTTCTTGATTACCTGCTCAGACCTGATCTAGTTGTGATTATAATTACTTGTTTTGAAGATCTATGAACAGACAAGATCTGGTGCCCGTCTTCTTCACCAATGTATTTAATACTTATTCGGCTGTTCAGATGCATAAGATATCGTGAAGTCCTTGATTGCCCTTAATTTTAAAAGTTTTGAACTGTTTTTATATGTTCTCTTCTATTACGAAGGCTTCAAGGGGTTCATTTTTATTCTCAAGTGAATTCGAGATCGTTATTGCAATAATTTGTTATTTCATGTGCCTGCAATACTTCATCTTATCTTGTTGTGTACTTTTGGTTGGTTGGTTCATCCTCCTCTTTAAACCTGGTCCAAAGGGTTGACCATAAGTGAAAGCCAATCCCTGATGAAGTGGGCTTGTTCAAAGGACCTGAGAGTTGCTGTGGTAGAGCATATTCTTTGTCATTTCAGAATAAATGATGGTGTACTAAAACATTGAAAATGAGACCAAAACATTGACTCTTTTCCATTCTGATTAATGGCTTTACCATTAGCACAAGTCAGACATTTTTTTTGTGGTCTAAAGGTGTTGACATTTCAAGTTTACTGTCTCTTTTCACCAGAGCTGAGCCAAAAATAAAATCTGTGCAAGTTAAAAATTGTTTATTATCTCAATTTTCCATCATAGCGAAGGTTGTTAAACCCTAGGTATAAATTGGTTCTCTTGGAGTTGAGTTTTTCTACACGTTTGCGTCTGGGGTTTTGATTGTTTTGTTGATTTAAGCAGCTAATGTTGTGATCTTGATAAGCAACATGTTATTGTTTTTTTATGTTAGCTTTCGTTCCTTCATATTTAAGATGCAACTATGGCTGAATTCTCAGCCCTTATAATTGTGTTTTGGGAGCAGAAAAATAGTGTTTCATGGTTACTGGTATTAAGTAGTTCTGTTGTATGATTTTCCAGCTAACGTGTTGGTGCGGTTCCATGAACTCATTGCTGTTATTAGAATGAAGTTTCAGTATGATCCTGAAACTTTATGAGCAGTTGAGGATGAACTGGGAGTACTTGAATTTGATTCATGTCCTAGTAATATGTTTATTGTCTCATTGTCTTTTATTTTAAGTCCAATATCTATGTGTCCCTCGTAGCTTTGGCTGCACCACCTGTGTTTTGAGGTAGTGAATTCTCTCAAGAGTTGATTTAAATTCTGTTATTCATCGTGATGGATGTTTGTTGCAAAAACTAGAAGTAGAATGATGATTTGGCAGTTGTTTCTCTTGGATTGTAGAATCAGATCTCTTTTTCGGTGAAGGTAATGGAGTCTCATAGTGTGTCTATTTCCTTCAAATGCGCATCTGACTAATATGTGGTTCCTTTTTATTCCCCCTCCCCTTCTTTTTTTTTTTTTTTTTTTTTTAAGGAGAATTAAAGTGATTGTGGCAAGATTTGTATAACTTGATATTCACACGCATGACATAATTCCTTGGACTCAAAAGCTCATCTGTTGAACCTTCTGTCGTTCAGTGCTCAGGAGGCTCATTATTTGAACCAAAATCTGTTTCTGTTTAGAATTTGGAGCCTCAGGTCGATAAATATCATAGCTGCTATTCATAAAAGTAAATCAATTGAATGTTGCATTTGCTCGAACTGTTACTTTTGGAATATATTGTATCTTACGTGGCAACTTTGTGCATTGTATTCTATATATTTGACCTTTGGTACCAGCGCTGGCATCAAAATTTTGAATTGGAAAGTTAAACATGCTACATGGGGCATCCATCAAAATTATCATAAAAGGTTATTGTCCTCTCAGCCCCATGAACTTTTTGTCCAGTCCTATGCAATGAAATTATGATGATGTTATTTTGCTGTTCACTGTTGGAGAATCTGGTAGCTAGGTTGATTGTGTAGCAGTTATGACCATCCTATAGAAACTTAAGATGAATTAATGCATTTGTAGCTAATTCCTTAATCTATGCTAAAATGAATGTGGCGCAGTGGTCTGCTATAAGATTCTTGGAAGAATACTGGGCTGAGTTTGGTATTTGTATAGATTGTGATGCAACATTTAAAGTTGCTGATTCTTCTTTTTACCTAAGGTTACTTGGATATTCTTTGGCAAAGATCTTTGGGCTGAATTCTTAATGATGGCACCATTTTCATTTGGTTACACTTTTCAACTAATTGAAACTAGATATTTTCTGTGTAGCAATGTATCAAACAGTGTAAATGGCCTCTTAATCTTTGTCGTGTTTTTGTATAGTTCTGTGGAGAGGGACAACAGCAAGTACCGATTAGTTGGATTGGTTGAGCATTCTGGAACAATGAGGGGTGGACACTATGTTGCATATGTGAGGGGACAACGAAAGAACCCTGCCGGACCTGAGAATGAGGGTGGAGATTATGTGTGGTATCATGCAAGTGATGCCTACGTACGAGAGGCTTCTTTAGATGAAGTTCTACGAGCCGAGGCTTACATCTTGTTCTACGAGAGAATCTGAAATAGATCGATATACTATTTCGGTATTCCTTTTTGTCTGTCCTTTAGTTTCTTACACCTTTGTTCTTCTTTTCTTCTTTTTCGAATTCAAGTTTTGGTGGAAAGAAACACACCACTAGAGGGAAACACAGTAGTAGAATGTACACATGACAATGAGGAAATATTCATTATTCAATACAAATTCTTTTTTGCCATGCAATGAGTTCATCAATGTGTCATCTCTATTTTTTTTTTACTTCATTTTTTAAAATATGAACTCATGGTTGTGTTACATTTGTGTCATGGCTTTTGGATAATTTAACTTGCTTTTGTTCAATACTTTGTGTTTAGTTATAAAATTTGGAGTTTTAAAACAAAGGATTTTTGGTTACTGAACATGGTGTTGGTCTCATTCTGGCTTTAGATGTTGATGAATGTCATGATGCGAGTTTCTGAATAGGTAGTTTCTAGAAACTCTGTTCTAAAATGGTTGTTTTTATCTGTCATATTAGAATAATCATTTGGGGTAGAAAGAATATATAAAAATTCAGAATAATTTGTTTACTTGTCCCCAGATTCATAATAGGAAGAATGTTTGCTCATGCCCAGTTCAACAATTGTATTAGGCTATTAGTTGAAAAGTGAAAAAACTCCTTGTTGCCAACATTTTAATTAAATAAAACAAAATAAATTGTTAAAATGAGCAGTAGAAAGTAAAAATGATAACGCTAATCCCACATTATTTACATATTCAAGAAAACTAGCTCTTAGCCATTATAGAGAAGTTGATCGGGCACGCTAAAATATCAGAATAGTTTATCTGTAACTAGATAAGTCACCATGATTTGGTCGAAATAAAAAACAGCACACCAAAAAAATAAACTAGTGTGATTTAGATTTTTGCAAAAAAAGAAATAAGATGGGTGAGAGAGTAATACACTTTATAAAATTAAATTTAAAAAAAAAACTAAAAATTTATTATGTAATAATATGAATTTTGTAACAAATTATCTGCCGTTATTAACTATATCTAGTACGGAGAATTAAACCAATTAATAAGTCATGTTCTGGAATTAAAACAAGGTAAGAACACGATATTATTATTTCTGACATATTATTTCATAATGATTTAGACATTTGTCTTCTCTCGTATTAAAAAAAAAAAAAAAATCTTGTCCTCTCTCACTATTTTCCCTATTTAGACCTACTAACTATACTCATAAATCATGATCTCATTCGAACACCAAAAAAAAAAAAAAAAAAAGCAAAAACAAGAGAAAAAGGGGAAAAAAAGAAAAAACTCAAAACTCAAAAAAGAAAAAAAAATAGAAAAAGGAAAAGAAGGGTGGTGGGAATCTTGAAAAAAATGAACTGAACATCATCATCATTCATCTCCCCGATATTCTCTTTTTCCTGCTGTTTCTGCTCCCTACTTACACACACTCACACACTACTACTCTTTTTCTCTTCGTTCTTTTAATTCTTCCTTTATTCCACCTCTACTATAATATATCTTCACCGCTCCATAAAAAGCTTTTAATAGCTATGGAGGAGATCCTAAAACCCATACTCCACCGCCACCGTCGTTTCCGAACAACGGCGTCGGATAGGCGGCGGCGGCGGCGGTGTTTGTTTCTAGACAGCTTAGTAAGCTTAGTAGTCATGGTGTCTATTGTTGTTACTGCGACTATGGCGCAGCAAACCATACCGACCGTCGTTCCGCCGCCGCCGCCTGCGTCGACGATACCGACGCTGCCGTCGCCGACGTCGTCGTGGTGCGTGGCGAGGAGCGACGCGAGCGATCAAGCGATGCAGGCGGCGCTGGATTACGCTTGCAGCGCCGGAGCCGATTGCGCGCCGATTCAGTCGTCGGGGCTTTGTTATCTACCGAATACGCTCATTGCGCATGCTTCTTACGCTTTCAATAGTTATTATCAGCGTAAATCCATGGCCCCCGGTTCTTGTAACTTCGCCGGCACCGCCACCGTCGCCAAAACTGATCCTAGTTCGTTTCATTTCTTCCTCCTCTTGCTTTTTTTTTTTTTACACTTTTTCTTTCTTTTCTAAAATTGTATTTTATTTTTTTGAAATTTAATTAATTAGTTATTCATTTCTTTTTTTAATTCAATTCTTTTTCAGGCTATGGATCTTGTGTTTATCCATCATCTCTGAGGTAAGCTTTACTGATTTATTCACATTTTTCTTCTTCTTTTTCCCATGCATGCTTTTCTTTGGTAATTTGGTTTACTAAAATTATAATTTTACGGTAAATCTGGATTCGAATTGAATAAATTTTTTTGGGGGTAAATAAAGTTAGTAAATTAATTTCCAACACTGTTGTGTACTACTTTTGTGCATGATTTTGATTATACAGTCGGGAATGTTGGTTCAGCTTTGTCCTTTGTTTTTTTTTGCTTTCTTTCTTCTTTTTGTGTTTTTATCCCCTCTGGTTTATTCGGTCAAAAGCTTGAATTGAATTGAATGGAGTGAGACTATAGGAGGCATGCGTTATTCTTTTCATACATTATTATGCTTCTTTTCTTTTTTTGGTGGTGGTGGTCCAATTATGTGATCCTTTTAATTTACATAGAAATTTTAAATCTAATAATTCTATAAACTGAGATACTAATCCCTCCAATGATTTCTTTTTTCCTTTGATTTAATGTAGTACTCCTATGTAATAGATTATTTACGTAATACTCTCTATGTCTTAAAATTATTATCCAGTTTGATATTTCATTTTTAATACAATTTGAACTAAAAATATAAATCCAAACTGAACAATAATTTTAAGCCGGGAGGAGTATAAAAATAATCAGAACGCTCGATAATTTGGAATAATTGAATTATGGCGGGTTGGTTGCGAATAATCTGCATATAGTTTATCAAAATGTCTTTAATTTTCCAACGTAATGGTATCTATCTCTATATTAAGTTGGAAAACTAGAGGCAAAAATGTGTAAAATTCCTTTGGAAGCATTTTTTTGTACTTGGGAGGAAAAAAAAAAAGAAAAAGACAGTGGATTGATCCTTAAATAAGTGCGGCGCCATCAGGGAGATGAGGTAATGATGGTGAGAGTGATTCGGTGTGTCGGCGAGTTGTTTGGTTTGCGTGTGGTTCACGTGGGCTCACGTATTAGATGTCTGCCACGTAGTCTTCTTCCATGGGAATGGACGTGGGTGATTGCTCAGATTGGGAGGTAGGATTTTGTCTCAGCCATTGAACGGCTGAGATCTTCTAGGATGTAGGCTGGCCATAAGAACGGCATCGATTTTCGGTTCTTTTAGATTTGCATGTCAGACAACGATAGCTGCGCCATTCTCCCGGAATTCGATACTAGTTCATTTTTATTTTTATGGACAGGAAAAATAACGTACTCCCTCCATTCCAAAATAAGTGTCGTTTTAGCAAAATGAAAAAATTTTAAAATAAGTGTCGTTCTCACATTTCAATACACTTTCTGTCAAAATTTTCTAAAATTACCCTCAAAAGAGTTGATGCTATTGGTGGATAATTTTGTTATGGGGTAGATTGAGGATATTCGAGTAATTTTATTACCCTATTTAAGAGTTCTTAAACTATGTGCAAAATGTAGGACGACACTTATTTTGGAATGGAGGGAGTATTATTTCCGTTTCAAATTAAGTGTCTGTTCTAACAAAATGAAGAAATTTCAAAATAAGTGTCTTTTTTATATTTTAATGCATTTTTTGTCCAAAATTTTCAGAATTACCCTCAAAAGAATTAATACTATTGGTGGCCATTTTTTTAATGAAGTTAGTTGAGGATATTCAAGTAATTTTATTATCCTATCTAAGAGTTTTTTAAACTATGTGCAAAGTCTATAATGACACTTATTTTGTAATGGAATGAGTAATAATTAAAAAATTGCGTTTAAACAAGTTATTTAAAGAGTTTATTTGGCAGTAACGTGTTTTTTTTTTCTGTGCTGTAACCTTTATTGTTATTGTTATTATTATTATTTTTATATATTATTGTTATTGTTTTGCATAAATTGAATTGAAAAGGTTGTGAATGGTCTTCAACATATCGTAAATAAGTTTAACAAATTGGACTTATGTAGATGAATAGATTTGTTGTCTAGATTTTTTTTTTTAAAAAAAAAACCGTTTTAATCAACATATCTTAAACATATCTTCAGTCCCACCTTTTTTCTTTTTTTTTTTTGAGGCATCCAGTCCCACTTAATATAGTCCAATTTGATAGAAGGAACCATTTTTGTTTTCATTTCCCATTACTCCTTCATTCCTGTACATCTTTGTTTTTTGTTTTTTTTTTTTGATATATTATATACTTGACAAATTGACATTCAATATTCTCAATTATGGGCGGTTTATGTAAAAACTGAGATTAAAGCCTCTTCTCTTTGCATGTCTGGATTTTCTAGGACAACTTTTGTTTTTTTAAAGATTTTTTAAGCTCTGTTCTTTATTTTTGACATAAAAAATTGTGATTTGCGAACACTTTTTTTTTTAAGGCATTCTCCAATCATTGAAATTTTTTCACTTTACGGTTTCGGGCATTTTCTTTTTATTTAAAAAAAAGGGCTTTTAGTATTAATCAAACTCATATAATTTTATTGTTAATCTTGTGGTTTTGTTTAATTGTGAAATTTTTCATTGTATAACATTTTATTAATAATTATTTACAAATTGAAAATGCGTTAATTTAAAAATTATTGGTATTTTTATTATTTTTAATTTAAGATTAGTGTAAATGTGGTCCTTTTGAAAAAAAAAATTATAAACTGAAAGAGTTTCTACCAGTAGATGAATGTATGTGGACTGTAAACTAAATAAAAATGGGGTTATGGGTAAGGCTAGTTTTGCTTTCCCTTTTTCTTTCTTCATTCTCCCTGCTCGCTTTTTAACTCTGGCCTTTTTCTCTCTGCTCATTATTGTTTTTTTGAGTTGACAATGGCCATTGATTTGGCTTTGATTCTACTTTGGAAATGCTACAGGATACTTAAAATTTAACAAAGCACAAGAATTACTAACAATTGTACAAAGCCTGATATCTTGCATTGAAAACTTTGTTGCAGCTCCGCAGGAGGAGCAACCACGACTAATGGCACTCCTGGAGGAACGACAGCTAATCCTGGTGCAGGATCAACATCGACCAATCCAGCTATGAATCCATATTTGAACACGCCACCACCTCCACTGTCGACAGGGACTACTCCATTCTACGGCAATGGAGGCTTGACGCCAGGGATCGGAGGACCTGGAAATGTTACTCCATCGCAGACTTCTAGAGCAGCCTCACATTCATCTGTCTCTGTCTCTTTAATACTTCTGTTGCTTGTAATACCAGTTGTCTATCAACCCTAATAGTAGATATTTTGCCTTGGATGTATAATGAAGACCTTAGGCTAGTGAAGTTTTGTTAGATATGGTCCTTCTCCCTAGCAATTCAGTTGTGCAGGAAATTTACTCTTTTTTTTATTCCATGTTATTTGTAGTTGCTTTAGACTGTCCTATTTTGAGGCCCTAATTGCAGTATTGGACAAATGTTCTCTGCTTGTTGCAGTTTCAAACTCGCTGCATCTACGAGATCAAAAACACACAAAAACTGGATATCTTCTATTCTTTCATTAAGGATTCTATGCTCTAATGTGCCAGTTTTACATATACGGTTTGTTTTTTTCCCGAAATCCACATCTTCCAGATGGCTGGTTACAGAGAAGATGAAAAAATACCAAGGGAGAAAACACAATGGCATCTTCTAAATGATGATAGTAACATTATACTAGGGACATTCAGTATTTTCATACAGAGACCAGTCTCTTCATTCAATACCACGTATACAAGCTTTTCAACAGTAATGAGTATGGCATTTGCTGTTTATGTAAACATCGTCCTGGGCAATGCGCATCTATCTTTAGTTTCAGTAGTGAGAATACGCAGCAAAAGAGACCTGAATTGATGCACTAATGAGATGGTAAAAACAGAAAAGACTTGTGGGTTTCCTCTCGGCAGAATAGGAAAACAGACATTCCTAGAAATTTACCAGGGAAGGAATTCCAGTTAGCCCAGTGAATTTTCTTCTTCGCGGAGGATTATTTACCTTGTGTTCAACTGGGCATCTCTCAGGCTGTCTCACAATATATATTTGATCACCAGGGGCATTGTACATATCCTGATTCCGGTGCCATGTCCAGAGAGCATGTGTTTCATTCTTCACCTGTAAGATCACATTGATATTTTAGTCATTGCCATTTTACGGCGTATACATATATGTTGTGAAGTCCACCAAAGGAACCATCACGAATCAAAAGACGAAGAGGAAGGGAGTTCATTTAATCAGGGAACTGTAATGGGGGTGCATTTTCACAGCATCAGATTATTCATATTTTCCCCTTTCACTGACTAGACCACATAACTTCAGATGTATACACATTTGATATTTATAGCTTTTAAAGTTTCCTTTTGAAAAGTTAGAATCTACCTCTAAAATACCATGTCCAAAGCTACTTTCGCGGTATGCACTGTAATCTGGTTGCTGATCCCAACAGAACTTTCCAGCAGCAGGACCTGATGTAAAATTGTAGGCACAAAATCCGCCCATATAGGTGTCTGGTGTGGTGGATGGATCTGGGCAATTTTCTGGTTCGTCTACATGTTTGATAGCCATTTTCTCCCTGTTTCCACCATCACCAACAGCTATATGTACAGGGCCGCAGGGATCCAGGGTGTAGTTATACACTCTGTTTGACCTCTCATAGGCATGTACCTATTGATCAAGACAAACAGCTCATAAGTAAAAGTAGAGGAAAACTTTCTAAAATCCTCTCGTATGTGAAGAAATTTTCTTACAAGGGGTGTAGCATTTAAAGATTTATGCATGCTGGAGTGGCTTTCTTTACAAGAGTCAATTATAAAGCTCAAGTTTTCACACAAAATCTTCAAGTGAATAATCTGTAAATGTGCCCAATTTTAATCCTGATTAATCAGTTTACAGTAAGTATAAATGCAGATACTTAATTAATTAGATTTCCAGTGAAATTAGACACAATAGCCATAGGTGATGCCAGAGAAATATATCATCTGTAGAAGGGCATCCAGAAACGTCCTCATAAGAACTTTCAAAGAAACAATCTGCAGCAGTTTTGCAACTTGGGTGTCTTTAGATTATGAAACGTGCAACACGGGAGTTTTTTTTTTTTTTTAAGGATTCAATGCAGGAGTTATTAAACAAAGAAAACACCCCGAGAACATAAGAAAAAAATACAGCAGTAGGCCACAATAAAATGTATGCCTTGGACAACAATAGAGTGTAATATTAACTGTTCCAATTGAAGGAAATGCTACTACTTTTACCAGTTTAATCATACTTTTCCTTATGAACAATGATGTAAAACATTTCGATACTAAAGCAGAAAGCATCACAAGATACTCGAGAAAAACATATTAAAAAAAAGGTCACACACAAAACTGTCTAAGGAGCAATGCCATTGACAAATAAAATGATTGTATCATACTTCACTGACGTGCTCACTTACATGTCCATTGAAGACTATATCAACACCGTTTTTGTATAGTATCTCTTCCATGGCTACCTTCATGCATTCAGCTTCCCTGTAGTGCGCTATATATGTTGTGTACCAGGGAGCATGCCATGTTGCAATAAGCCAAGGCGTGACTGTTCTATCAACTTTAGCAAGATCTTTCTCTAGCCACTTGTATTGATCAGCTGTAGGCATCAGAGTTTGAAATTCAGAAAAGCAGCTTCAAATTACTTCGAAAATAATAAAAAAAAGTTAGTTTACTTATGTACAATAAGCAAATTAATTTACATGGAGTAAGATTCATCAATCTCAACACAAGCAAAAGGCAAAACAAACAATGATGAGCAGATAAATAAGACCTTAAGTAAAAATTTCACCTGATTTATCATAAGCAGCATATGCAGCAAGCATTACAAAATGTATGCCTCCTGCATTGAAGGAGTAATAGAATGGAGATGAAGAGCCACTCTCCTTGGATGGAAACGCAAATCGAGAACGATACGCTGCGAACGTCATATTCCCAGCTTGTTCTTCAATTTCATGATTTCCCTCCACTACCATGATTGGCACTTTAGACACTAGAGGCTCCATGAATCTGAAAGAGAAAAAGAACCTCTGATTATATTTCGTTCCAAAAGCACTCAGAAGATATCTTCTTTGCGATCATGGGAAAAGGTAGATAAACAGCGGGGGGAAAAAAAATCTCCTAGTCAAATTGACCCAGTCATTATCAACTGATGTCTGAGGTGCTAGAGGTCCAGGTGCTGCAACGAACTTGGAAAATATTTGCAGCTTAAAAAAAGAACAGAACTCCTGGAAAAATGGTTGTAAGAAAAGTAGCCATGACAGCAGTTCTGTAAGTAATTGTTGAGCGAAGCGCTCTTCCTCAGAATAATATGACAATCATCCTTTTCTCGTTTCCTCTAGATATGCGATATATCTATATTTGTTTACCCTTTGAAATAAACTTCATAAAAGAATTAAACAAGAGCTATTCTTTCACATGGATAGCTCACTAGCTTTGTAAAAATAGTTGAGAAGTTTTCTTGAGTCTTAATGCATGAACGAACAAGGGGAAGAGAGAAAAAAAACTACCTTCCCCAGAAATCCCATCGAGGTTGATAGGTCTCATGTATGGGCGTATTTGAGAAAGAGCATGAGTAACAATCAGCTCCGGTTCCATTTGTCAGGTACAAATTGGCATAGCTTACATCTCCTACCAACAGAATAAGATCAGGATCATTGTTCATCATGTGGTTGATGGTTGATGTTGTATTGTATGTTAGACCAAGGTCTCCCGCCACTGCTATCCTACGGGGATAACTACTTGGTCCAGAGGCAGGCATAGTCCTGAATTGGTGAATTTTACTCATTGCAGGTAATGAAGGATCTCCACATCGATAATAGTATACAGTATAGGGTTGAAGCCCTGCAGAAATAGAACCAACTCCATCTTAGCCTCTGTTAATAAAGTCACTGTCAACAGGAGATCGCATACATGGCTTCTCGGTTTGTTATAGAAACATATTTGAGGTACAGAGATTTGTCAGATGCAGTTGGTTCAAATAACATACAACATCAGTTTGCACGTACACTAATCTTTTAAAATTAGGTTGCTACCTCTTTATGTGAAGAACAATGGAAGCATTTTGCGCAAAAGTTCAGCATATGCAAGGTTTGAGAAAGCTTTGGCCTTATCTGATGCATGCAACCTTGCCTTATATATTCATAAGAGATTGTGAATAGACTTGTTATGTTTCACAATCCCCACAGAAGAGAAGTTAAAAAATAAGATAACCACGTACAATTTTTAAATCAAGCTAACAACTTAAAAGGATGGTAACAAAATTAAAAAATGCAGCAACTTACCATGCCTAGTTGCAGTGGGAATAATTAATAATGTGAAAATGGAGAAAAATGGTCAGAACAAAAAAGTTTTTTTGAGATCAGGAATTGAAAGGATTTCTGTTTAGATGAAAGTCCTATTTATTTTACGGAAGCAAGAATCGAGGAAAGCTTCCACTCCAATTGTAAACATAAACATAAAACATCCATCTCAAATTTGTATTGTTAGATGTTATGCAAGTGAATCAAAAGACAACGGAATACAAAACAATGCAAAAAGGTTCCCCCATCAGTTTTATGGGATCCAAACTACAAAACTTCTACCCAATTCCCGTTTTAAACATGTACATAATATCTAATACTATCATTTCAAATCTTACTAGCAACTTTACAAGGAAACATTTTTCTGGTAAGTAACCTCAATCCCCTCTCTTCTAATCATTTCTTTAAGAAAGCCCAGAGCCTAATAACCAAAACAGAAATACTGTCTCCTTCCTTGATGCTTATTCTTTTTTTCTTTTTTTTTTGAAAGGTACTTGTATATTAATTAAGGAGTACCTGACCTATTACATCGCATTCTATGGAAAGCTAAATTATGAACTTCTACAATATCTTGTCTACTCACTTTAATCAGTGAGCAAGACTGAAATAAGGAAATACTAGTTACTAACAAAGAAACTACCTCCTGGGCCTCAGAAGGTATAAAAGCAGACCGTAAATCTTCAGTCAGAGCTTCACAGTCCGTATAAACTTGAAGTCGAGTGATCCCTAAATGTAACGCCTCTTTCAATGCCAAGAGACAAGTCATTGCCTCGGCTTGAAAAGGAGAAAGCACACTTAGGGAATTTATGATCTTATTTATGATCTTTCAATGTAACGCCTCCTTCCTTGATGCTTATTCAATGCTGCAGAAATTTCTCATAGCGAAGGGAATTTATGATCTTAACAGTTGACATAACTTTGTAAAGATTTGCAACGGTTTAGCTGCTATGTTTCTATTACCAGACAAAGTTTAGTAACTACTAAAGAAATGAGAAAGTGAAACCATAGCTCTGGGCCTCTGGCCTCTGAGCACAGCTAGTCTTCAGAAGAGCGATTGGTAAAGTAATGGTTTGAAGTTTTCACTTAAGAGAACAACATACAAAAATGAAGATCATACAGCTACTTAAGTAGAGCACAACAGCTTGAGATGAAACCAATCCAGCTAGTTATCTTTCCCCTCATATCAAAGCCAAAGACGTGAACATTTTAAATAAGAATAGCAGATTCAGTCATTATTCTAGTTGCAAAAAATATATTGTTTCAAGAGTTGTACCTGTAAGACGAACATGATGTATTATTCCGGAGGTGTAATTCTGCAAGCCTTGAAACGGATATAGCTGACTATAAATCAGAGAATGACCTTTCACTTTGTGGTTCAAGAAGAATTTTGATTTCCCAAACAAGATAACACTATCTACAGTTTTGGGATCTAATGGTTTGATGTTATCACCAATTTGAAAGTCACCTGCAAACAACAATAACATTTAGTTCAAGGGCATCAAACTGATTGAACAATCAGGCTTTACAAGCCATATTTTCTAGTTAGATCCTACAACTATCAAACACAATACTTAAAATTAAAATATAAGGAGATTCCAAATGTCTGGTTAGAGAATTGCAAGCTTCATCGTCAAAAACTAGTACACAAAACTGAGACTATTTTCTACTCCAGAAATTGATACCAGAACATCAAGCTTGTGATATAAATGTACTCAAATTATCGGCTTCTGGAAAACATATGGAAAGCATCTATTTAAAAGGCAAGCAATTAATTTCCACATGAACCAAGGTGTCAGTTTGAATGAAGAATACAGATAAACTAGTGAAATAGAAAATGACAAACCTGTTATCCATGAAATCCAAACAGAATCATGAGTTGATGAAAGGGAAACTGAAATCTGTTCAGGCTCAAAACCTACAACCTTCCTCTGCACCCTAGGATCAGTCTCGGGCAAATCTATTGCATTCCCTCTGAAACTTTTATCCAACTGAACAGTCACTGGCTTTGAAGGACCCTCTAAAGTTGTTGGAATTTCTCCATAAACTTGTACCAAATTCAGAAAAATAAACACAACAAAACTAACTACTACTTCTACAACAACAGTATTCCCTTTGAGCAAAACCATTTCAATTCCTTGCATGCAACAATCAATTGTAACACATACACACAAAATTCACCAAACCAGCAACCCAGACAGTGAAAACAGAGAGAAACAACAAGAAGGGGTGACAGAAAAACCCAATAAAAATTCAATCTTGTAATGGAAAAAAAAAATGTTCCTAAAGGGGTAAAAAGAAGGCATCCCAGAATATGCTAAACATGAAAAATCTGTATCCCGCATGAATATAACTGCATTTCTGACGTGGGTTCACACCCGAACAACGAGAAATGCACAATAGCCGTAAAAAATTCATGTTTCCAATTTGCAAAAGCTTTTCCAGGTACAAAAAAGGTAGCAAAAGAGGAAAGTGGGCACTAAAAAAATTTGAAAAAAAAAGACTACTTTTTTGGAATATGATAGTGAGAATGGTGTGAGGATTGGAGAGAAGCCGGCAACAAATACTGTAAAATCCAATTAGGAGAAAATGGGCCGTTATACTGAGTTTGTACTTTAGTCAATAAAACCTTGAAGAAAGATGCCAAATTGCCAGTCTTGTTTGGGAATATATGAATGGCATCATGCGGAAACTTGGGGAAGTGTGTGAGATCAAGACAATTATCCTCTTCGATCTGTTGGGATGTGCTTTTTTTTTTACTTTGGTTTTGTGGGACTTTCAACGCGCCGTGTCTTTAGCAAACAGAACACTATCATAGCAGTAATTTCATCATTTGTTCATTTGTAATTTTCTTTTGGTAAGGCTTGATTGGGATTTGGAGATGCGTAATATCTGTTTACTGTCTGAAATCGTTATTCTACTTCAATCAAGATTCGAGTCAATTAACGGTTAAAATCTGCATTACATATACATAGGGAATGATTTTGGTTCATTTACTCAAGACTCGAGACATTTTTAACTTTTTCGTGAACATGAAACCTTCTTTACTACGCAGACTAGAGAACTAGTACTCCTTCCGTTCCAAAATAAGTGTCATCCTATACTTTATACATAGTTTAAGAAACTCTTAAATAAGATAATAAAATTACTTGAATATCCTCAACCAACCCCATTAAAAAAATGTCCACGAATAGAATTAATTCTTTTGAGAGTAATTTTGGAAACTTTGAACAAAAAGTGCTTTGCTCTATTTTGATAAAACGACACTTATTTTGAAACGGAGAGAGTACTATAATTTAACATTTTAATGACAAGAAATTGATTTAATCGAAAGAATGATTATGGCAAACCCTTTGGCGTGCACGGTGCACTCCATTGATGGAGGACGATGATGTAAAATGATTATCAATATGTTGATCTGAGTGCAATTGAAGGCATTCCAAATTTCCAATGGTATTATGTTACCTAATCTTTTTGGACTACATCTAAATTTTGACTTCTCCGATTTCACTCGGTTTGCTCCGTCCAAAATAGTTATCTTGTGGTAATAAAAATATTTAAATACTTTTAAAATAGAATGATAAATTGTGAGTGATAAATAAATGAGGCAAATCTTAATAACTTGAATTGATATATTTCGTATTATAAAATTCTAGCCAGTGGATTGTCAACCTAACCAACTTATCCTTGTCCAGTTATCTACAAGAAGTCGTTTGCAAAATACTTTATGGCCAGAGATTTCATGTTCGAACCCCTATAGTGTATGTTTATTTCCCTTTCTACAATGTTCGTTCTATAGTCCATTTGTAATAATTTAGCCGTGCAATTGTACATATAGGAGTCCCACTCTGTTTGTCTGCAGCAAATAAATGATATATTTCAATAAAAAGGAAAAACAAAAAGCATTGCAAGCTCTCTAAACTAGTAGTTTGTCTGCAGCAAATAAATGATATATTAAAATAAAAAACATTGCAAGTTCTCTATGTTGAGTGTCACATATCGGTGGTGGGAGAGACTTAATATCAATATATAAGTCTATAAGCCCTCTCCTCATTGCCAATTAGTTTTGAAGTGAAAACCCATGAGCTTCTATATGGTATCAGAGCCAGCCTGTCAAAAGTCGGACTTCAAGCCTGATGTGATAGAACTGGTAGAGCTGAGACGTGATGCGATGACTGGGTTGAAGAAAAATAGACAAGCCCAACCCAAGTGTTGAGTGTCTCACATAGGTGGTGGAAGAGACTTGATATTAATAAATAAGTTTATGGGCTATTCCCTCCATTTGTCGATTAGTTTTGAGATGGACCATGAGCATTTGTACTCTAAACAAGTAGCAGCTAAAGATGCTATAAAATCACAGGTGAACAATGATTATGGTATAAAATCAAAGGTGAACAATGATTATTGCCATGGAACAATTATTGTGAATAAGTGAGTACTTGATTTGATGAATTCCATGGTGTATTTAATTTGGATTTATTGTCTTGTTTTGGATTTGAATGGTTCACAATTTTGCAATCTATGATATTAGAAACTTTAATTATTTGATAGAAAATATTTTAATCAATGTTGATTGCTTATGTTTAAGTTTGGATTCGAATTATAATTAAATTGATCTAATACATTTACCACTTAAATAAAATGATTTGCTATAAACTTTATTTATTAATTGAAAGATTGCCCACCTTTATCTATAGATCTGTGGATAAAAAAATCATCAGACACTAAGCACTAGATTATTGACTAAAGAAACAAATAAACTTACCAAGCCGCTTACAATTCGCCAGAACAAATCTGTCGTGTGACAGAAACATGAAAGGCACAAAACAAAATGTCATTTGTTCAACAAGTCTTTAGTTGTTAAAAATATGTGGAGTTTATAACCTAATGTATTTGTTGGAGAAATATCAATTCAAATTAGAGTATCAAAATTAAAATGACTCACTTGAGTAGGAAACACACATATAATACTAAGCTTTCAATATCAAGATTAAAAAGTCGAACAGTAATGATACTGAAGAGTCTAGAAACAGAGCTTACTTATTATCGGTTTTGATAAAGAAATCATTCGGGATCACCCCTAATCCTCATGCATGGTTTCAATGTTTATTATGATGATTTGTTTGAGTTTCGTTGCATAAAAAAAGTGAAAAGTTCAAACCCAATTTGAAGCCTAAATCAAACCCTGAAAGACGAAAAAGGATGTTCAGTCGGGAGATCGTCGACATGTCTATCAAGAAAATAAGATCAACAAAAAAGTCGACGCTAGGTTCCTACTTTTGAGTAATTTTCCTATTTTCAGTAATTTTAAGATTTTGGTTATTCCTTTTTTTTTTGTTTTTAAATAAATACTAGATGCTTGCCCCGGGCAATTTCCCGGGGGCGTCCCACCTAATAAATTGATATGTAAATAATCAAAACTGATTAGGAATGAATTTAGTTTTTGATGAAAATAATTGATTGACCGAAAATTAATTTTTTCAAAGTCCTAAATAAATGGAAAAGGAAAATTCCATACACTGTCAAATTCAAAATTTGAATAAACATGGCCATCTGATCTCTTCGTTAATATTGTAAATATTTTCTCTTCGTTAATATTGTAAATATATATTTTATTTTTAAAAGGATGTGACACGTGGCAGAATGATTTATGCAATATGGTGCATTTGGAGCCAAAACATTTTAATAAAAAATTGCCACATCAGCATCCTGTTTTCTGCTTTAATAGGGTAAAAGGGATACCTTTATTACAATTATCATGCATCAGTTGAAGAAAGTAATTATCAGATAAATAAAAATTTTTAAAATAAAGAGGAAACTAATCAAAAACTAATATTTGGTTTTGATTGTCTGAAGTTAAAAAAAAGTGCATTTATCGAATTAACATAAAAAAGGAAGCAATAATACAAAATATACTTTCCTTAATAGATTTAAGTGAGATTATTGACTTTAATTATCCACTCAAAATCTGCGAACGAAACAAGCCAAAAGAAACTATTCATTTGACTCCATTGACACTTCTCCAAACCAATAAATTAAAAGTTAAAACTTAAAACAATGCCACCCACTTCTCGTTCACCACATGATCCTAAATTAAAAACCGTTAATCTCATCTTTCTGTACCAAACTAATAACAAAAATACAATTTTTCTTATTCCCCTTCTTTTTTTTTTTCCCTTATAAAATTTCCTTTTGGTGGCAGTTTTCTAATTTCTCTAATCCAGTTGTTGGGACAATTGCATCAAATCGAAGATCCCTGCATTTAAAGCAAGAAAAAAAATTGAGGGAATAGAAAGGGACAGAAGAAGAAGAGAAAAACTGTCTGGGCACATTTCTCTCTTGAGGTCGTCCAAACTTGAAAAGGGTTGAAGAGGGACAAAGAGTTTCTGCTCGATCCAGCCTTTTTTTTTTGTTTCCTTACACGTTAGGCAGTTGGAAGGGAGGAAGTCGGAGAAGATGAATATATTCAGATTAGCTGGGGATATGACCCATTTGGCCAGTGTGCTTGTTTTGCTCCTTAAGATCCATACAATCAAATCTTGTGCTGGTATGTATAATTTTTTAATTTTTTTTTTGTCATCCCTTTTTGCAGTCTTTGAAATTGGGTTTATGTTGACACAATTCTCTGCCATTTATAAAGTTGTGAATCCTCAATTGTTCTCGTCTTTTTTTTTTTTTTTTGATATGGGTTTTCTTCTCATTGATGAGAAGTGTCAGTTATAACTATTTTAGCTGGACTATTGATGAATGAGATGATTTGGGAATTGAGTTTTTCTTTTTGGTCCACTTATTCGAAATGGTTGGGTTGAACTGAGAAGGCTCCTTTGGATGGTAGCTTAAAAGTCTCGGGTTCTGTCGGTGTATTGGTAGTAATGGAGCTTTTTTAGGTTACGAGAGTATAGATACTTTCATTTTAGACTAGTCTTTGGTTTTAGCTTTTATGGGTTAAACTGGAATCAATATGTGGAGAAGGAAGACAGGCAATACAATGGCTTTAAAAGTGTATGATGATAATGTGGGGAATTCATATTAAAGGGTTAAACCATAGGATGGTTTTCTCAATGTTATGCCAAGGTGGTTTGGGGAACTTCAGAATCAAGATAAAGCTGGACAGGGTAAAGTTGTAGACTGCTATTTGATTGAAAAAATTCAGTTATTCTCTTCTAAGTTGTTTGGGGGTTTTGAAAGCAGTCAGTCCTCAAGGACTAACCAATCTGTGTTGGCGTGGAGGAATATGTACTGTTGAATAGCATGTGCCCTTCCTTACCCATTGTTCATTTATAAATTATTAGATATATTCAAAATGCACACTCAAAAGAAAATCAACAACCTACCCTGGACGTGAGAATAAAGCGTACATGTTTCATTAAATTTCTTGTACTTATGCAATATTGGTGTCTCAACCGGTTTTAGGTGTTTCCCTACCATGGATTTTACTCTGTTTTCTGAATGGAGATTCATACAGATATTGATGGTCGGCGGTATTGCTGGATGTTCTTTTGATCAAAATAATAATGGATTGAGAACAAAAAATGACTTTTCATATGAGCAGGCCTTGCAAATTGATCCAGGAGTGGGAAGTGGGAACAAAATGCCTTATATGAGTTGGCAGAACAATATCTGGGTTTTGGGGGAAGCTGTGGGATATATTTAGGTGAAAAAATTTGTGTTACATGGATAGACTATTATGATATGTAAAGACTGATTGATAACTGCAGAGAATGGATGGCATCCTTAAGAATAAACTGAACACAATTGGACTAACGGTTGGAACTAAACAATAATTTAAAGTTAGAGAGGCTGGCCAATGAATGTGATTATGCTCTTTCTATCCAGTTCTCTTCTGACTGATATGATGAGCTCATGAATTTACGTACTCAAATAATTATTATCTTAGTTATGGATGGCATACTTGTCATGGACCCATTGCTGCTTCAGATGATTATTAGAGTATCTTACACTGGATAAATGTTATTTTTAGTTCTTACTTTATCATGTTAATTTCTAGCTGTTATTTTGGACGGAGATGTTAATGTGGAGAATTGCCTCTAAATGAGAATAGTCTTGTACTCTAGGTCTAGCTAATGGAATGTCACAATCCATTCCATCAGCTTGCATGTTAATTTGTCTGCTTAAAAGTTAGAACTTCATTTACGTACTTCTACCTTTAGTCTGGTTTCTGCATCTATTTGCGTCTAAAAGATGCATTCGAAAAGTAGATGTTATATATACTGTCTTATTACTGACTGCTGGTTATCATAAACTTGTGTAGGTATTTCTTTGAAGACCCAGGAGCTCTATGCTCTAGTCTTTGCAACTCGCTACCTGGACATATTTACTGACTATATCTCCCTCTACAACTCCATGATGAAGTTAATTTTTTTGGGAAGCTCTTTCTCAATCGTGTGGTACATAAGGCATCATAAAATTGTCCGGAGATCTTATGATAAAGAACATGACACATTCCGCCATCTTTTCCTTGTGTTGCCATGTTTGCTTTTGGCCCTGGTTATACATGAGAGATTTACCTTTAAAGAGGTACCGGTGCTTTACCTTAGTTTTGGTAGAAGCTTGGCTTGTTCTGATGCCTGGAACATCTTTTCCAGAATGTCATCCTTTTACATACCTTATAACATTATACACACATCAGTCTTTCCGTGTCTTTCCTGTTATTTACTGTATACTCTGACTGATATAGAACATTGCATGATGTGGTTGCTCAGGTAATGTGGACATTTTCGATATACTTGGAAGCTGTTGCCATCCTTCCTCAGCTGGTCTTGTTGCAGAGGACAAGAAATATTGACAACCTCACTGGGCAATATGTTTTTCTTCTGGGGTAACTATCACTTGATGATTTTCTTGATGATAGGAGATAGGGTTTTCTGACCTTTCCATGTTATATGTTGTAGTTGTTGTCTTCGGCAGCTCACTATTTGTTTCATAATATTTTGATTATGTCTTGTGGCATACAGTAACTTTGTGTGTTGAAGAAGCAAATAACTACATATGTATTTAGAATAGAGCTTAAGTTAGATGTTGATCACAATACATCAATGAATGAGCTAGCTGATTGCCCCACTCTCTAGTTTACTGCATCATGTTGGTGTGTTTGCTAATAGATCTTTGTGCGCTTGTATCACACAAGAAACTCTGTTATGCAATATACTAATTACTGAATATTATTTTGCTGAAACAATTTTGCATCTTGGTTGGAAATTATATGAAGCATGTCTTTTGGAAGCCTTTTCAAAAACTTTTATCGGTTAGCTGGTAGCTAAGCTTCAAGGTTGTTTATTGTTGTTCTTAGGTTTCACTTTATAAAAGAAAATCAGTAGAGGAGCGGTCATGAATAGTGATTATTAATACGTTTTTACACATCATATCTCTATTTTGGTTGTCTCAATATATCTATTATTCTCTTGAGTCCATAATCTTTCTTCTACTAGCCTGTTGATCTTAGCCATGTTCTGTGAATTATCAGGAACTCCACTTCTGGGTGAATAATTAGTATTACACTAGTTATTTGAAAGATTTAGTTACAAATTATTGATGATGACAACGGTTGTCCAATTGCCAGAATAATTTCTGAGCATCATGTAATTGGTCAGAATAGAGTGGCAAATTTGAACCAAAATTAACCTTCTGGCTTTAAAACCAATAGAAAATAGAGAAGAGAAATGTGATTGAGCTAGAGGGAGTAACCATTAATCATGCTTTATGATCTTTTCTGTGTATGCATGTGGTTGATCATTTGAGCAGTTATGTTTTTACTTGTATGTCAACTTGTTAGCAGTAGAGAACTTTTCTTAAATTGTTGTTCTTCTGTGACAGAGCATACCGGGCTTTCTACATTGTGAACTGGATTTATCGCTACTTCACTGAGCCACACTTTGTGCATTGGATAAGTATGAACCTCTCTCCCTCATTTGCCCCACTCTCACTTGCCTATTTTCTCTACAGGCCACTATTAGTGTTTGCAGTTGTCTGCTGTTGACAACACTAATGTCGCCATCATTTCTTTAATTTCCTTTTCATCTGTTTGATTCCTTGGCACTAAAGCTGATGCCCGGTTATGTATTGCCGGTTTGCTTTTGTTTGCAGCTTGGATCGCAGGTCTTGTTCAGACTGCACTTTATGCCGATTTCTTCTACTATTACTTCCAAAGGTGATTTTCCCACAACTCTTAAAGTACTTCCTATGCTTATCTGAGCCTACTTAAAAAAAGCTGACTTTTTTCCTTCCCTCTGAATTCTGCAGTTGGAAGAACAATGTAAAACTCGAGCTACCAGCTTGAGCTTTGTGTCCAATCTCCACAAGATGTGCCTGATTGAAGACTTGAAGAAGGAACGATTTTATTCGCATCGCGTTTCTCATTTTTATTTTCTAAATGTGTCTTAGCTTTAGGGTGCTAGCAGACTTTGCCAAGAAGCAGGGGATCTCAATTTTAGTCGACTTTTGATGACACATGAAGTGGGGATATTTACATGTCATGTAGAAAAACTATAGCATCTCTTAAAGATGGATGAAAGAATTTTAAGCTACATCCAGTTACATGCTACCCTACTTTCTATTGAGTTATATCACTTGCCGACTTGATATAGTTGCTTGCATTCTTTACTCATATACTTAGCACAATCATTTGATACATGGTTTGTGGATTTTGCTACACTAACACTCACGAGGTTTGCACTATCATTATTTTACAATGAATTTGTAAGGTACAACTATCATGATTATCGTATAAACCATACCTTTTTCCACCTTGACGAAGCTAGGATTTGTACCTCTGGTTTAACGGTGGAGCTCCGATTAGAGTTTCCTGCAAAAGAAGGTATCGGAGGTCTCCCGAGGATAGACACTCCGATATTTAAGTTAAGAAAATGGTTTAAGGAACGTACATGAGTAGTTTTTTGTGCTAAAGATAGCGTATCCGTATTGTAGTGTAATTAACCCTATTTATAGGCATGGAAAATAACTTGAGGGATGTCGAATCCTACTAGGTATTGTGCTCCGGAACCGTCTCTATAACTTCGGTTGGACCACAATTGGCGGATGGGCCGGTCCAATAATCCTTGGAGGATATGGACTCATCAAGTCAAGTGTTAGTTGACAGGGGGCCTATGTCAAGTGTTGGTGGACACAAAATAAAACGAACCTGGATCTGGCCCAAGTAGAATAGTCAAGCCTGGGCCTATGTTTGATCAAGAAGTCAGTTTAAATAGTTTGGGGGTCGGAATCCGATCCGAGAAAACGACCCACTTCAGGATCCCGCTCAAAACATCAATCCGCGTGTCTTTAGTGGGCACGTTCCCCAAACGACGGCACCTTCATCATTACTGCTTCCTTGAAACTCGCCCAAACTGTCGAGTCGTGGGCATTAACAACAACACATAAAAATCTTTTGCACTTGCTGTTTTCTTCTTTTTTTTTCTTTTAATCCGACAAAGAGAAAAAAATCCTCCCATACTTTCAAAGCACCTTCTGTAAACACCAAAGATTCTATACTCACCGTTGTGCCCCAGTTATCACGCCGGTTGTACCTGTTTCCGTTGATTCGAGAAGAGCTGCGGCCAGAGAAGTAAAGATCACTTCGGTCCAAATCCAGCTTGAAGAATTGAAGCAGAAATTTCAAGAGTACTGTGACATGCACATCTCCAAGGAGGACTTCAACAAATGGTGCACGACGTTTTGGTGGAGGATGCTGTCCCCAGGGGGGATGACTGTTGCTGTGGAGGAAATTACTGTTGCTATCTTCATGCAGTTGCTGTCGAGGGCTTAAAAAGACTTAAGTCAAAAAAGCCTGTTAAATCTAAGTGGCTTAAATAATTTTTGAAGGAAAACCCAAAGAAGACCATGTATGAGGCCTTGATCCGGGGTCATTACAAGCTATCCATGGATCAGCTACCCCTGTGGAAGCCCTTGTGTGAGGCTCTGTCCAAGATGAGTGCTCCCGAGAACATTGTCTCATTCCCCGAGGATGTGGCTGCTGTTTTCATGAGGGGTCCTGGTGAGGAATTGACAATACTTGAGGTCTCCGACGAGTACTTTGGCATCGATCTCAAAAAAGATGAAGATGAGACTGCTGAGAAGGACGACACAGGCAATTCAAGTGCCAAGGACCGACATCCTCCGGTCGTGGGGGATACTGGTGTAGCTAAGGAAAAGGATCCCCCTGTCGAAAGAACATCTGAAAACCAACCAGGGAACGCCTCTCGTTCTCAAACTGCTGTATGAATTTACCCTCCTTGTAATAGAATCCTTCCTAATTTTGAGAATTTTTTGTACCACCGCCCATGGCGGTGAATGTGAACATCTTACTTAAGCATCTGTGATGTTTTATATTATTCAATCCTTTTGATTTTATTTCGCGTCTTATGCTAGGAATCATACTTTGTTCACTAGGTGCATCTGATGATCTTGGATGAAAACCAAGCACGAAACTTCCCAATGTATGCCATGGTTTCTACGGCAGTGAGGACCCTCGAGAAGGACATTTTAGATGCTGTCCAAGCATACAATTTGCAGAAAAACTCTCGACTGGTACAGTGGTTCAAGCAGAAAGAAGAAGAGTATGAATGCCGCCTTCAGCAATATGATTTCAAGCAGAAAGAAGATTCTCTGGTCTTTGAGGCAAATGTGAACGAATAGACGACGAATTTGCAAAAGAAAATGCCCAATGAAAGCGTCGTGAAGGAATCGTGGTATCCCCATGGTTCCTCAAGAAGTTCCACATCCTTTCACTTGTTGAAAAACAAATCCAAACCATGACAGAATGATTCATCTGCCATTGAAATGCTGAAGAAAAGGACCAAAGAGGCCGAGTTTTATTCTAAGCAGTCTACTATCTTACAGAATATACTGGCTGACCGCGAGATTCCACTACCTATTCTCGATAAGCTAGATGAGAACGAGGAAGCTCAAGAGAGGACGGCTGCCAAGGAGTTCCTTCTGAGGCTCAATGAGCAAGACTGGGAAATTGTCGATTTGAAAGACAAGTTAAACAAGTGCATTAAGCCGCTCAGAGTGTTACGATTCTCGGGCATGATTAAGCCGTCCCGATTTAACCCCCATGGAGAAGATCTTAGCATTTAGGGATAAACAAATGTATTTATCCAACCCCGCACATAGTGTGAGGGCAATGTATTTGATTCAAGCCTTGTTGGCGTCGTTTTTTGATTTATACTTGAGTACAATTTATATAGCGCTTTTTTTTTGGCCGAATGTAAAGTACACGGCTCTCTCGAGGGAACTGGGTACGAGTTCCTCGAGTTTATACCACGATCTACGGCGAATACGAGGAGAATTCATCATTTTTTTGTTCGAATGTTGAATACACGGCTCTTAACAAGGATGGCCCTATAGAGGGAGTCCATCTCGTAGACTAGTCATAATATAGTGTCGACAATGTGAAAGAATATACAATGACTTTTATTAGATAATTTTCCGAGGACCCGGGTTAGTATTACATATGAAAGAGCAAAAATAGCAAAGCAAATAAGGCAAGTAACCTAAGCTAGCATGTAGCAAATAGGAGCTTAAACATAGAATCTGCGGAGGTTCTGAATGTTCCACCATCGAGGGAGGATGATTCCACTGTCGTTTGTGGTTTGTAGATGATAGCTCCCTGCTGGAGAGGCTTGAATAACTTTGTAGGATCCTTCCCAGTTTGCGGTGAGTTTTCCAGGAGTCTCGGCTCGACTGGCTTCATTCTTTTGGAGTATAAGATCCCCCACTGCGAGGTCTGTTGCCTTGACCCACTTATTGTAGTGTTTGCTGAGGGTCTCCTTATACTTTGCTTCCCTTATCCTGTCGGCGTCTCGTCATTCCTCGAGCAGGTCGAGGTTTAGCCTAACATCATCATTGTAAGTACTCTCGACAAAGTTGATTGTACAAGAACATGCAAGGCCTATTTCGACTGGAAGAACCGCATCCATGCCATAAACCAAGCTGTAAGGAGTTTCATCTGCCGATGAGTGGGCTGTGGTACGATATGACCACAAGACATGAGAGAGTTCCTCAGCTCAAACTCCTTTCGCGTTGTACAACCTGGTCTTGATTCTATGTAGGATAGTTCTATTAATGGACTCTGCTTGGCCATTAGCTTGAGAGTGAGCTAAACTCGAGAACCGACGCTTAATTTGCATTTTCTCACACCAAGACTTGAAAGGGTTACTCTCGAATTACGTGCCGTTGTCGGAGACAATGACCCTAGAAACTCCAAAACGGCAGACGACATTCAGCCAGAAAAAATTCAGCACTTGTCTTCCAGATATTGAGGCCAACGGTTTAGCTTCTACCCATTTGGTGAAGTAATCCACCGCTACAATTACCCATCTTACTCCTCCTGTCCCTTTTGGATGAAAAGGGCCGATCATGTCAGTACCCCATTGGTAAAATGACCAAGGACTTTGAACGGTGACCATCTCGTGCTGCGGTTGTCGAGTAATAGGGAAAAAACACTGACATCTATCGTACTTTTGCTCAAATTGATATGTATCTTTAAAGATCGTGGGCCAAAAGTACCCAAAACGGAGTACTTTAGCAAGTGCCCTGGCTCCCATGTGCGTTCCGCATGATCCCTCGTGAATCTCCTCGAAGACGTATGCTGCTTGTCTTGGTCCGATACATTGCAGCATGAGTAACAGGTATACGTGCTTGTATAACACCCCATCTCTTAAAGTGTATTTGGCCGCTTTCAACTGGAGCGCTCGAGCATCGGACTTATTACTGGGCAATGCCCCATCCGTGAGATACCGAGTGAATGGGGTCATCCAAGTGTCGCCGTCCTCGGTGACAGTCATTACAGGCACTTTTCGAATGCTAGGCTCAGAGAGAATCTCGGCCGAAACCTTGTGACCAAGGTTTTCAAAATCGGGATCCGGATCGTGGGATCGTACGATCCGACGATCCTACTTTCACAAATCGATCCTGGATCGCTTAGGATCGAGATTTGTTGTGGAATCGCTTCGAGATCGTACGAAATCGTACTGAGTCGTAAAGTCGTTCGATATTGAAAGATTTTGAACGATCCGGTGCAAAAAATGAATATGGGCTCTAAAAGACTCAAACTAGGAAAACAAAGTTTTTTTTTGGCCCACCGTCCATGACATAAGGTTTTTAATTAAAAAAAGGGGTACTCTAGTACAGTTCATTTACCCTAAAATCTAAATTTTTCACTCCACTCGACAGTCAATTACTCAATTTATCTCCGCCTCCACCATTTTCCTCCATGGCTCCACCTCCAATCCTCCATTAATCCACTTATAGTCTTCTACAATCTACACTCATTAGTCACCATCTTCCTCCCCTAGACTAACTTCCGCTGTCGGATTGAAGATGCCGTAGACTATTCAGTATTTAGTATTCACCGCCCTTCAGTCTACTCTTCACAGGTTTGGATTCGAATGCCTTTTTTATTTTTGTTTTGAATTTTGACTTGTTCCTGTGACATACGAAATTTGTGAATTTAAAGATTGCACATAATATGGGTTGTTGATTATAAATATCGAAAGGACTTTCATGGTTGCATGATGCATGTTTGATTGAAAAAAACAACTTTGTTTCTAACTTAAGATTATTAGATGCTCTGAATTTTGTTCAGTGATAAGAAATTTAGAAAGAAATTGGCCTATGGAATATACATTACTGTGATTATAATTAACCATTAGAAGTTTGAACTAAAGAGTTTGATCAAAATTCATTTCAATTTTTCTTGCATTACTGTGAAGTTTGAACTAAAGAGCTTTTTTTTTTAATTACAGATTTTAAAATGTCTGTATCCTCAAAATTGACTGCAACACAGAAGAAAAAAAAATTCTCTTGGAGCTCGTTTAGATCCAGCGTGGAAACATGGAATTCATGTTGATTCCTCAATTAAAAGGGTAATGTGTAAATACTGTAACAACATTCGGTCTGGAGGGATTTTTAGGCTCAAACACCACCTAGCTTGCACTCACCAAAATGTAGAACCATGTGCTAAAGTTCCTGAAGATGTCCGAAATGAAATGGGTCAATTGCTTGCTGCTAATTATGAGTTATCATCAAAAAGAGGCAAAAGAAAATACTCTTCTTCATTAGAGTCTGTTAATGAAGATCATTTCCAGAAATTTTCTAGGGGCTCAATGGATGGTTTCTATAATAGAAACGGTGGTGAATTAAAGGAAAAACAAGTGACCTTAAATGCAACATGGAAAAGAGGAAAAAGGGATGATGTTTGTCAGGCTATAGGGCGATGGTTTTACTCTTGCGCTATCCTTTTTAATACAGTAAAGAGTCCTTTCTTTGATGTAATGGTGGAGGAAATAGCAAATTTTGGAAATGGATTCATACCGCCTTCTTATCATGAGATTAGGGAGAGTATTCTAAAGTGAGAAGTGGCGGAGATTATTAAGGTGGTCGAGCAGCATAGGGAAATTTGGGAAAAGTTTGGTTGCACAATAATGTTTGATGGTTGGATAGATCAAAGAAAAAGAAGTATTTGCAACTTTCTTATAAACAGCCCAGCTGGAACTGTCTTCCTAATGTCTAAGGACACGACTGATATTTCTAAAACTGCTGAAAAGATTTTTGAGATGTTGGATGAAGTTGTGGAACTAGTGGGAGAGGAGAATGTGGTACAGATTGGACTCCATGTGCGGCACACTGTATAGATTTAATGCTAGAGGACTTTGATAAGTGTGATCCTGTGCAAAGAGAAACTATAACTAAGGTCAAAGCATTAGTTTCATTTATATATTCTTCTGGCACACTTGTACACTGGATGAAGGAATTTACAAAAGGTAAGGAGTTAATCTGACCTACCATTACTCGTTTTGCCACGTCGTATTTGACTTTGAGGCGCATAAGTGAAGTGAAAGGTGACTTAATAGGATTTTTTTGCATATGAGAAGTGGAAAGAAAGTTCATATGCTAAGAAAAAGAAAGGACAGGATGTTTTCAATATAGTCTTTGATAATCAGAATTTTTGGCCGAATGTGGAAATGTACTTGAAGATTGCATCACCGCTTATAAAAGTTCTAAGGATGGTTGATTCAGATGAAAATCCTGCTATGGGATATTTATACGAAGCAATTGAGAATGCAAAGGAAGAAATCAGAAGTGGTCTGAGGAACACCAAAAAGAAGTAAGTGAAAAATTGATTAGTGAATTTTAATAATGTATCACTACTTGATTTTACTGCTGGAGTATCTTTATAATTTCATTATATTTATTATTATTTTGTAGATTCGAACCCGTATTTGAGATTATAGATAGAAGATGGGAAGGGATGCTAAATCAACCTTTGCACTTAGCGGCTTATTAGTTGAATCCAAGATGCCAATATAGTAGAGGATTCAAGGATACCTCGGATGTCAAACATGGACTTCTTACATGCATGAAAAAAATGGTTCCTGATGAGAAGTCACGAGAGAAGCTGATTCCTCAATTATCATTATTTAAACGCAAGAAAGGATTATTTGCATCACAGACTAATCTCAATTCAATTTCCACATTAGAGCCAGGTCTCATTCTTCCTTGTTTCACAATTTGTTATTAATTTCAGTATGTGAAAACAGAATTATCTAATGTTTCTTTTTATCTTTTCCTTTGTTTTGGCTTTCTAGCTGCGTGGTAGGATCTTTTTGGGACTGATTGTCCAGAGTTGCGATCATTTGCTATAAGAATCTTAAGCTTAACTTGTAGCTCTTTGGGTTGCGAACGCAACTGGAGCACCTTTGAAATGGTAAAGGTACATTATTTTAATGCTTTCTAACTTGTGAGTTACAAGTGGCTACTGCGAAAAGTTCGTATGGAAATATTTTCTAGATAGTTTTTTATTATAAACAAATAGGTTCATTCAAAAAGGAGAAATCGATTGACGCACAAGAAAATGGATGAATTGGTGTTTGTAATGTATAACTTGAAATTGCAAGAGAGGGAAAGGGCAAGAGAAGAGAGGAGAAGGGCAAAAATTATTGAAAGAGCCTTGCTAGGTGGTGATGATGATTTGCATGGAGAATTAGCTTCTGATGATGAATGGATTACAGAGAAAGAAAATCATGTTTTGTCGAAGAACACAAATTGGTTGAGAAGGATAGGGGATCAAAATCATGACTCTTCGGATGATGAAGAAGGTGATGAGAATGACATTGATTTCATTGCATCTCATATAGTGGTAGCTGAAAATGGTAAGATTTTCTTACTTTGTTTTTTTGTTTTATCTTTTAAATGCTTAGTTTTCAGTTCATAATGATGGATATACCGATATAGTAAATCTTTAAGTGTGCTTATTTCTCATGCAGATGAAGAAGCTCCAAGCAGTTCCCATAGAAGGAGAAAACGAGTCTGTCAAAATGGTAGGTTTCAATTGATTGATGAAGATGACACTGAAACAGATGGGGATGACATTGTTATAGAGAATTTAGATGTAGAGAATGAAGATGATGCTCAAGTAAGGATTGATGACAATTCTGAATTTATGGAGCAAAGTGGACATGGTAATTTGAGAGATGATGGCAGTGGAGATGGATCAAATGATGAGAGTTTTGATGATTTATTAGGAATTTAAGTAGTAGACTTTGTTGTTGAATGAGAACAGTATGTTTCTAGGCTGACTTGGACTATTAGTACACTGCCCTTTTGGTATATGTCTCTAGGTTGACTTGGATGATTAGTGCGCTGCCTTTTTGGTACTTGACTTCTATGATGGTTTTGGATGTTGTAAACTTTTGATCATCCTACAAACGTTCTTTTTGTGAATTGTTGACAAGGAGTCAAGGAGTATTATAACTTTTGGTGGTTACTTAGCGTGTTCAATGAAATCCATTGATGATTGATTTAAGTTTTACAGTGTGATTTTATGACTTATATGAGTCGGTTGTGATTAAAAGCATCTCATATTCTCATGTTGTACTAAATTGATACTAGATGGTGTTCGGTTGTGCCCCAATTTATGTTTAAGGGGTTCAATTATCATAAAATGATATTTTTATATTGTCACTTTACAATGTGTTTTGACTCCTAAAGTTTCAATTCATTTATACAAATATTAGTGAATTTTTTGCATGTTTACGATCCCATCGATTCGATCCCACCGATCCAAAGTCCGATCCGATCCTGTGATGCTAAAACGATCCTGAGTAAAATCCCGATTTTGAAAACCTTGCTTGTGACTAAGGTGTGCAAAGTTAGAGGAGGCTAATTTGCTCAACGCATCTGCCCTTGTGTTCTTTGTCCTTATGATGTGGGAGATATTGCATTCTTCAAACTTATCTAGAACTTTCTCTAAATATTGCTTGAGTTTTCCGTCATTTGCTGTGTAATCGCATGCGATTTGATTTACCACCACATGAGAGTCGCTAAAGACTTGGATTTTTTTAATCTCAAGTTTTAGAGCCATATTTAACCCTGCTATCAACGCTTCATACTCAGCCACATTGTTAGTAACCGGAAAGTTGAATCTCAATGCATAGGTGTACTCCGCATCATATTCTTTTATGCTCTCGATCTCGGGATCGGCTGATGGCTTTGCTAATATGATACCGGCTCCTCCCCCCTTGTCGCAACGAGAGCCATCAACGTATAGTGTCTAGGCTCGAGGGTTTATCTCGACACGGGTAGCGGGGTGACCCTTAGGCTCTTCGACTTCTGGAACAGTATCAGAACATGGCATCTCTACCAGGAAGTCTGCAAACGCTTGGCCTTTGATTGCTGTTCTTGGCTTATATTCAATATGATGTTCCCCCAGCTCTACTGCCCACTTCATCATTCTGCCAGAAACTTTGGGGCTTGAGAAGGACTTGTTGAATGGGCTGTTCTGTCAACACTCGTATTGGATGTGCTTAGAAATACGGGCGTAGGCGTCGAGCGGTCAAAACCAAACTTAAAATAAGTTTTTCCATGGGCGTGTATCGTGACTCCGCCCCTTGTAATACTTTGCTGACGAAATAAACAGGGATCTCTTTGCCATCCTTGTTTTGGACTAGGACGGCAGATACAACCTTTTCTCGAGCAGCAAGATATACATGTAGAGTTTACCCCGGTTCTGGTTTGGCTAACGTAGGTAGCTGTTTGAGATGCTCCTTCAGGTCTTGGAAGGCTTGCTGGCATTCCTCATTCCACTCGAACATTCTTCCTTTCTTTAACGTCTTGAAAAAGGGGAGACTTCTCTCGGCCGCACGAGAAAGAAATCTATTCAACACCGCGAGAGAACCAGTGAGTTTCTGTACCTCTTTAACTGTTTAGGGGCCTCCATGGAAATGATTGCTTCGACCTTGGTGGGATCCACGCTTATGCTGTCCTTGGAGACTTGGAAACCTAGGAATTTCCTAGAACTGACATAGAAGGAACACTTCTTTGGGTTAAGCTTCATGTTGATTTTACGGAGGATTGTGAAGATTTCTCGAATGTCCTCAACTATTTTGTCGCCGAGATTGCTTTTATTAACCATGCTGTGAACATAGATCCCGATGATACGCCTAATTTGATCATGGAACGCCCTGTCAACTAGGTGTTGGTATGTTGCCCCAGCATTCTTTAATCCGAACAGCATCTTGTCATAGCAATAGACTCCAATTTCCGTGATGTAAGCAGTTTTTTCTGCATATTCTTGAGCCATGAGAATTTGGTGATATCCCTTGTATGCGTCGAGGAAGCTAAGAGTTCTAAACCCTGTAATTCCCTCAACCATTTGATCAATGACTGACAAAGGGCAGCAATCCTTGGCGCAATGCTTGTTGAGGTTGGTGTAGTCTTGGCAATGCGCCAAGAAAGGTCTGGTTTGCGGACAAGGACAAGATTGGCTAACCATGTGGGCCAGAGGACTTCTCATAGGATGTTGGCGCGAACAAGTTTAAGTGTTTCCTCGTTGATGACGTCGTTATGATCTCGGGCAAAGATCCTCCTTTTCTGTTGCACAGGCTTGACATTGGGATCCACGTTTAGCTTATGTTCAATAATTTGTCGAGGAACGCCCGTCATGTCAGATGGTGCCCAAGCAAATATATCATAGAATTCACATAGCAAGGCGATTATCTCGGCTCGCAATATTCCATCTATGGATACTCCCAGCTGGATTGTCTTTTGAGGCTCTTTCTCGTCCAAGACCAGTTCCTCTGTTTTACTACTAAGTGGTGGTTGATGAGGAAGGTCGAGATCTATGGACTGTTTCTCTTTCTTGGATTCTATTGAGAAAATCCCCTACTGAACTGAATAACACTCCGACGCAGCGGTGGTACCTCCTTATGCCATTGCTTTTTTTCCCGATTTTGACTGCCATGAGGAGGCATTCTCGAGAACTGCGTTGGCACCCTTGTACTATACCTATTCCGTATTCTGTTGGGAATTTCATTACTAGGTGATAGGGGGACCAAACAGCGCAGGCTTGGCACATCCATGGCCCTCCAGGATTGCATTAAACGGCGAGGGTGCATCGATTATGGCAAAATCCATTGTTAGGGTTACTATTCGAGGATGCGACCTTACCGTGATTGGAAGCCTTACGATTCTGCTAGGGATAATCGTGTGCCCAGAGAAGCCCATGAGTGGTAACATTACTGGCCGCCAATCAGGATTTTGTATGTTCATCTTCTTAAAGCAATTGTTGTAGATGATGTTGACTGCACTTCCGTTATCGACGTATACATGGCTTACAAGGAAATTTTGTATGATAGCCTCGATGACCATGGCATCACTGTGTGGACAGATGCCTGGGACTACATCGCTGTTGATGAAGACTGTGGCTTCGGTTCCCTTGAACCGCTTGTGACTGGGCTTTTGCAGAGGAGTTTTAGTTACTTCTTGAATCAAGAATTTCATTGTTGTTGTAAAGAGAACCTCGAGTGACACACTATAGATACCCCCACATTGTGAGTAATTTGCTTAGCAGGATCAGGGGGAGGAACTTTCTGGATCGGTTGTGCCCCCTCGTCGAGGGGTTGTTGAACAAATTGTTGTGCATTGCTCTTTGGTTGCCAGTTGTTTGTTCGATTATCTCCTCGAGGACCACGATTGTTATTCCGTTTGGGAAAGTTACGGGATCCCGCGAACTTCCCTCCCTTTCCTCGAGGAACACCTTGCACATATTGCTGGAACTTTCCAGATTTTACCCCAGCCTCGATTTCACGTTTGAGTTCCCTACAATCTTTATTGTCGTGGCTGTGGTCCTTGTGGTACTCGCAATATTGATCCGTGGACCTATTTGGATTATGAGCCAAGGGCTTTGGAACAGGGAATTCATCCTTGTGGATTTGAAGTATTTCTTGCCGGAGCTTCAGTAGCGGGGTTAGTTACCTGTCAAGCTTAGGCAAGGATGGCAAGGATGGCTTAGCTTCCATCGTAGATTTTATCTATCTCTTCCCCTTCGATCTCCTGCAATCGAGAAAGACTCCTGTGAGTGCTTGAGTGTCTATTCCCGCCGAATGTAACTTTCAACTGTGGCCCACATTTCTTGTGTATTTCGAGGAGGTTTGGTTGACAATTTCATCCTCAAAAGGGCAGATTTTCCGAATGGATTGAGGCCTTGAATGAACCCGTTCTGTACGTCTCTATCGTCGAGGTAATCTACTTAGAGAGTTTCCCGGATGAAGCGATAATGAAAATCAAACAAGCTCTCGTTTTGTCCTGGCTTGATCGAGGAAAGGTCAATTGACATTTTCGTGATTTGTTTTCCGGGGAAGAAATGCGTAGCCAATTTAAACGATAAGTCCTCAAAGCTGACGATGCTTCCTTCTAGCAACTGTCCAAACCAACATTGCGTCTGTCCAGCGAGATAAGATGGTAGGGCTTTAGCCATGAAGTCAAGTGACGCGTTTCGGATTCTCATGACTTGGACATAGCCATGCAAAAACTGCTGTGGGTCAGAGTCTCCCAAGTACTTGACAAAGTTCTTGGGGAAGTCAAAGTCTCAAGGCTTTGGACAGATGCGGATCCTAGGGATGAAGGGACTTTTATCCACGATTATTCCGATCATTCTTCGCATTGACTCGCGAATGGAAATATTTTGATTGCCATATCCCCCCTGTTGTCGAGGAGGCAAGGGTTCTTCTTTCTGAGGACCATAGTAGTGGAAATGATCGTTGCGGTGGTAATCCATGTCTTGATACGCCTCATGATGATCTCGATAGGCTTTGTCTGGGGAAACCTTAGGTCCCAAGCGAGAGTGTACATTGGCTGTTGGTGGGGGGTTCTAATACTGTTTAGACAGAAACTCAACACTGGATGAACCTTGACGGTGTTGATCGTGAGACTGTTTCTTCTGTCGACGTTCTTTGGCAAATTGGTCGAGCGCCGTGTAGAATGCTGGATATGCTCTCCCAAACGAGTCCCAAAAAGTTGCGCCAGGAGTAGTGGAAAGCTCCACGTGGGGGATCTCGTTGCTAGGTGTTTCTCTGTGGCTTTCTCCCCCTTCTTCAACTGAAACTTTGTGTTTACCTTTTTTCTTCTCGAGCAAGGCCAACGTCCTGCGTGCTTCTTTCTCGTCAATCAAGTCGTGCAACTCCTGATCTGTTGGATCGGGCAGATCTAGCAAGCAACAATGCTTGTACTCTTCCAGTATGTACTTTTTCTTCCTTTGATTAAGATCGTTATCATCTTCAACTTCTTGAGTTCTGCCTCGATCTCAGCCAATCGTCTCTCGTTGCACGGATTGTGTGTTTTGCGATGGTTGCTGGGAGATTTTTCCCTCCTTGACTGACAGTTACCTTTCTTTTGCTTTTGTTTTTCTTGGAACTTGGCCAAGGTTTCATTGTCGTCAAGGCTTGGTTCTCTCCCTAATGACGTCGTACTGGACTCCGATTTGTCGATTACTGCCATTGTGTTCGGGTGAGAACCCTACTTTTCAACGGCGGTAGCGAAATTATGGAGGTCTCAGAAGCTTGAGAAAGCTTGTGACACAAACCTTAGTTTTCGGGTACCCCTAGACATACCACTTGACGAAGCCTGAATTTGTACCTCCGGTTTAACGGTGGAACTCCGATTAAGGTTTCCTGCAAAAGAAGGCCTCGGGGGTCTCCTGAGGGTAGACACTCCGAGGCTTAAGTTAGCAAAAGGGTTTAAGGAACGTATATGGGTAGTGTTTTGTGCTAGAGATAGTGTACCCGTACTGTGGTGTGATCAACCCTATTTATAAGCATGAAAAATATTTTGAGGGATGCCGAATCCTATTAGGTATTGTGCTCCGGAACTGCCTCTATAAGGTCGGTTGGACCACAATTGGCGGATGTGCCGGTCCAATAATCCTTGGAGGATATGGACTCGTCACACCTTTTGAGTTTTTTTCTTCTTAAGGTCTCCAATCCGGATCAATCGTAATATAATATATATATATATATATATATATATATATATATATATATATACATTGTATTTTTACAAGTTGGCAAGACCGCAGACTGTAATCGAACATTTTTTTTCTCCTACTTGACACGATAAAGACAGCATGCTTGAAAGATTGGTTGGAGTACAATGAAACCAGCTGACTCCTTTTTTTTTATAAATTTTTTTACTACAAGTGAAACAAAATATTTGGAAAATTGCTGGGTGATGATTATTAATTATTATGGTAGTTAATTTCGTTACAAATGATAAAGAGAGTCTCCTCATGATTTTAGTTGTATTGATTTTGTAACCGAGATGAAACTGAAATTTTACCCCAAAAAAATAAAAATAAAAAGAAGACAGGAATTTTGGATTGTAACAATACAATTGCTACCAAAAAAATGAAAATAATATACACTAATAGTATAAAAATATTGGGCTCATAGAACGTAGGCCTTACCAAAGAAAAATATTGGGCTGAAAATAGTCCATTTCACAAGCCCAACTAAAATATCTGGGATGAATAAATACGCCGGCCTCTAAAATTCTAAAACCCTAGCTTCGACGCCTCTCTCTCGCCTTCTTCTTTCTTCCAAAGGCAGAAAACATTTAGACGGAGTGAAAGCTCAGAAGCGGCGCCGATCAAAGTAATCTCACCGCCTTTGTTTCTTTTCCTTTGTCTCTTTTTTGCTTACAATTCTTGGGTTTTTCTGTTACTGATTTGTGGGGTTTATTTGTTGGGTTCTTTTGTTTTTCCTGACAGGAGAAAATGGCGGACAAGGCAGTGACTATTCGTACCAGAAAGTTCATGACAAATCGTCTTCTCTCCAGGAAGCAATTCGTGAGTATTCTGAATGCCTTTGATTAATGTGATTTCAGTAGTTGAAAGGGTTGTGTTTTTTTATTGTTATGATTTTTACTGTAGAGTTTGTTTGATTTGTTTTTGGGCTTCAGGTCATTGATGTTTTGCATCCAGGAAGGGCTAATGTTTCCAAGGTTTGAACTTCTTCTGTTTATATTCTTATATAAAGTATGCATTTTTAGTATTTGTAGTGAGAGGAGATCCTTATTCTATTTACATTTTTCTGTTGGCGGATGATACATCTTATGGATAATGCCTTTTAGCTTCTGTGTGGTTCATTTTTAAGTTTGTCATGAATCCTATTGATATAGGCGGCCTCGATTATATTTTAGTATCTATGTTGAAATGGTTCTAGGCCAATTTGGATTTTTGTTTTATATTATTCTTCATTTTGGTAATGCTAGTTACTTTCACTATAATTACATGTAATGACATGCTAATAAATTGACCTACAGTTAGCATTACTCTGAACCCTAATGGCATCGGTAAAGTGATGCTCAGGCAGTGTAATTTTATAGTTTGGGGAATCTATTTTGTTAGTTAAGAAAATATACAGTACGGAGTGATGGAAAACTTGAGGATAGTGACCAGAGTGCTGGCTAAGAAACATGTATATTCTCCTTTAAATTTAGTTAGTCACGTCGATGAAAGGTCTTTTGTCTGGGATGAAGAGAGGCATAGGACAGGGCTACTTGCATTTAGTTCTCTTTAAGCTTTGAATTGTATTGCAGAAACTCAAATGGTTTGATTATGAGCTATAGGACAAAATAATAGAGTGATAAGAAGTTCTATTCATCAGTGTTTTCTGTTTGCCAGTAGTAATGCTTGTAAGCTGCCGTAATGTTTTGCATCAGTCCCTGTTTGCTAATGGTGTTTTAATTTGTTTTGTATGCTGCACTATAGTTTTAGATAATTTGTTTCCTATGCTTGTGTTCTGTGTCATTGATTTTGTTTCATCTGTACTGTTCCTTCTCAAGGCTGAGTTGAAGGAGAAGTTGGCTAGGATGTATGAGGTTAAGGACCCAAATGCCATCTTTGTGTTCAAGTTCAGGACACACTTTGGAGGAGGCAAGTCTACTGGGTTTGGATTAATCTATGATTCCGTAGAGAACGCAAAGAAATACGAGCCCAAGTATCGTCTCATCAGGGTAACTACATTTTATTGTCTTTGTTGCTCTGATGCTCAAGTTCAAATGAAATTTTAACTGATTGCTTAGATGCTTTGTGGTGTTTATATATTTTGTTGAAGATGCTTCTTTTAAAGTTTCTACTCTCTGAAACAAAGGTTCTTTGAGTCTTACATTGTCTATGACTTGCTAGCCTCCTGTTAGCACACTATCCGCTGTTGCTACTATTCTGCTTACTATCATCATTCCTTCTTTGTTTTATGGAAATCAAGGGCTCTCTACTTGCCCGGGGATTGATATGTGCTGAGAGGATGCAGGGATACTTTTATTATGATATTACTATTAAATTTTGGTAGTGTTCTCATTATCATGTTCTGGAGTTTCGAAGTCTTCTTGGTTGGTTGGCTGAGTGGTGGTTTGTGTATATGTATATTTTTCAGTCCTTGTTTCTGTTAATCTTTCTACCCTTTTTTAAGTACATGTTTGCATGTTTTTATTTCTGCTAGCATAATATCTGAGATGTGCCTGTTGAGATTAATTAGCTTCTTCGTTTGTTTCTCATGGTGGTCAATACTGTGTGTTCTGCAGAATGGCCTAGATACCAAGGTAGAGAAATCTAGGAAGCAGCTCAAGGAAAGGAAGAACAGAGCCAAGAAGATCAGAGGTGTAAAGAAGGTAAAGTAAAAAATGATTTCTTTGTTAGTGTGGACATCACTATCTTTGTTAAGTTAGAGATTTGGGTCTGAGGGACTTCATTTAGTTGACAATTTTTATTGTTTTTTTTTTGTAGACAAAGGCTGGAGATGCTGGAAAGAAGAAATAAGCTTTCAGCTGATGTTCTTTGGCTTGCTGAGTTTACAGAGAAATGGAGATGTCTTTTCTGCATTGTTCTGTCATGTGTTACTTGAAATTGTGATTTTTTTCTGTTCTAGAACTTTTGAATGAAAACTGTTGACATGTCTAAAGAAACCTTTATCTATTAGTTGCTCTCTATGAATAGTTATTAGCTGGTTTTGAATTGACCAAGGTATTGTCAGGTTCATCTTGTCTCTTCATTTCTTTGAACCTAAGAGAACTTTCTGGTACCGATGATTGTTTTTTAATCTGCGCTGATAGAGCAATAACTTGCATCGGATAGTAGGATTCAACACACTTGTTGTTAAAATGAAAAACCATGATCATAATTTTTACTGGACGAGACGATTCTTGTTTTTAACTGGCAATTGAGTTAGTAAAAATCTTCACAAGCAAAGCTCATCGAGCATTTGACCTTAACAAAATCTAAAGGCAGGAAGGAACATTTGACCTTAACAAGAAGCAATGCCGAACTACTCTACCAAGTGCAACAAACACCCTTTCTCAGAAGTATGTATAACCGATTGAATTACATCTCTTCTCGTTTTTACTTGCTTTTCTACATGTATATTTCTAGGAGCAGTTTGAGATCAGGTTACGGCAAAGAAGTGAACGGAAGGTACCCTTGAAGCCTCAGGGTTAAGTGACATTGTTGTACAAAAAGCAACTGCCGGAGGGAACTTTTAGGTACGATTGTTCTGAGGCGATACCTCAAAGGCTATTAGAAACCTCAGCCAGTCCCTGGAACAGTGGAAAGAGTATGTTGAGGAACAAGTACGATCCGGAACAGGTGCTCGTCAGTGTTTGTTGGATTTTCTCGCTGTTACCATCAATGAACTCGTCCTGGATTGGTTTTTTTTTTTTTTTTTTCTCGAGATGCTTTGGACATCCATATCCTGTAGTAATGGGTACGAGTTTGAGCAAATCATACGGACTATTTATGTTGTGGCATATGAGATTTATGGAGATTCAAGGTCACATGATCTGCTGCCACATGACAAGAAGCACGGCGGTCTCGTGGAAAGGTCACAGGAAGTGGTCAATTTACTGAGTGACTGCCGAAGAAAGACTGATGAGCTTATCATGGAGATTCCACAAGTTTCACAGGATCAGCGATTTATGTGGTGCATTGTTTTCGAACGTTTTACTTATCCCTTAAACAGCAACCCGTGGTCATTTAATATGGGGGGTAATGGTGTTCATGAAAAAGAGCTAAGTTTACTTGGAAAACATGCGAATTGATTATCTGGGGCATGGTCCTATATATTATACAAGATTGGATGACATATTCAGTGATGCTTCATCCATGATTGTGACCATTGTAGTTCGATATTGTAATTTCTGGTTCAATAGACAACACCCTGAAACAGCAAGCTCTGAGGCAACCGAAATCTCAAATTTGCAAAATTGCTGCAACAAGTTCCGGTGAACCCTGATGAGCATTCAACACGACTTAGTGGCAGGTTGATTAGAGGGTTTGAACACGCGAGCTCACGGCAAGATGCCAACCCTGTTTGCTATACGCCATGCCGGCTTTTCAGAAAGGTAAATGCTGGTCTGAATGATGATCATATTAGATTCTTAAGGTCAAAGAAGTGCTAGTCTTGATAAGAAACGAAAAGTCATCCATCCATCATTAGCATTATACACCAAGTTGTTTCCAGCACTAAAAACCACTTTCTACCTACTCTTTTTGAAAGTGATCAAATCACTCCCCCTGGCTTTGCTTTCCTTCTTCCAAAATATTTCTGCATTAATGCAAAGACACTTTTCTCGATTCTTATAAATATCTGCACCCAACTGATGTTACTAACTGTTCTTGCTTTGATACACTTCCACTGTAGTGTCCGGGCACTGTTATTTTCTCTCGAACGATCTTAAATCCAAGCGATCATCTTTCTGTAGGCATTTGCTCCAGATTACCGGGATGTATATTTAGAGGCTAATTAGTGATCTGGAAGAAGATTGGATTCATACGCAAAGGTACAGTCGGATTCTTTGTGCTAATCGATCTTGCTTATTCAAGTCACCTTCACCACTGTATCTTTCTTGTTGTTTTTACTTGATTGCATGTTTTCTGACAATTCTGGTATTAGTTTCAGTTTCAAAATTGAAAAAATATCATAGTTTTGTGCCTTTGTTTCGTTTGTTAGTAAATGATCAATTACCACATATCATTTATTCATCACTCCTGCTTGTTTTGCTAGCTCTTTGTAACTGTCGGCTTGCTTTTCGCATTGTATATTTCTAGGAGCAAAGTTTAATTTGAATGGAGGAAGCGAAGAGCAAAATGAAGACAGAGAAAATGGAGAACGAGAAAATGTGGCACAAAATGGAACATGTCAGATATCCTGTGAGAAAGTTTAGTTCTCTTGGTTGGTACTTCCATAACTCACAGATATTTGAACACATCAGGCAGTCGCTCAAACAGGGAAAAGAGTATGTTGAGCACGAAAAATCAGGAGAGTGTGGGGAAGCAGCTCATCAGTTGTTGGGTTCTGTGGCTGTAGCTATCAGTGAACTCGGCCTGGATTGGTTTTTTCTGGAAATGCTTTGGATATCCATATACAAAAGTAATGCATTTATGCAGAAAGAAAAAACCGTTGAGAGAATTCATGAAGTGGCATGTGATATATACAGAGATACAGTGAATTCAGGTGATTTTCAGGATGATGAGTACAACGGCTTCATGAAAAGGTCTCCGAAAGTGCTCAGTTTGCTTGATGAGTGGCGAAGAAGGACCGACGAGCTCATTGAGACAGAGATTCAACAAGTTTTGATGGATTTGTCAATATCAGCATTTTGTGCGCCGCGAGTTATTTGTGACTATTTTACTTATCCCTTGAAGAATAATCAGTGGTCATTCATAATGGAGGGTAATGATGGTGTTCATGAGAAAATGCTGTTATTCTTCAAGGAGCAGCTGGATTTGATCTGCAATTACTTGGCAAATATACCAGTCAATCACGGGTGGAATGGTCTTATACATTGTACAACTTTAGATGCTATATGGAGTGATGCTTTATCCGTGATTGTGAGGATTGTAGTTCATTATTGTAGTTTCTGGTTCAACAGAAAACACCCTGAATCTGCAAGCGCCGTGGCAACCGAAATGATAAATTTGCTTCAGGAGATCGCTCCTACAAATCCAGAATTCCTAAAGTCTAACCTCAGGTGCCTAAAGTATCTCTGTGAAAGTGATGGCGACTCCATACATGCACAGGTTGCTAACTCCCGCGACGTGGCTTACTTTTGCCGCCATCTTCTCAACTGCCTTTCTGTAAAACAAGAAGAGTTTGCGGAGGAACAAATTAGTTACCTAAGTTCCCTTGTTGCTCTTTGTTTGAGAAATACACCAGCGGATAGTAATGAGGATGTGGACAGTTTCTTTGCAGAGATTACTGCAGTGCTAGCAGAAGTAAGCTTCATTTTCCATGGCACAGTGCAAATAGATCTAGCTGCTAAAAAAGAACCAATTCAAGCTGCTATATTGTTTCCTGATTTCGAGTTGCAGGCAAAAATTTGTCTACTCAAGGCAGAGCTTTTCCTTAAACAGCAACTCCAAACTCGCAATGACCAATTTTTCAAAGTCGATATGATCCTCAGGTACCTGAGAACATTTAGCAAAGATGCATGTCAAAGAGAGAAATCAGAGTTGTTGAAGCAGAGTTTGGTATTCGCTGAAGAATTGGCGAATGAGATTGAATCCCTTAACAAGTCACTTCGTGCCGAGAGGATAACTAGCCCTTTGGTAAAACATTCACTTCAGCAGTGGCTTTTTCGGATCACCTTTTTCAAAGCTGAGTCATGTTTAGCAGAGCTGTTGAAGAGTAGCGACTCCCCCATAGCTGGTGAAATGGATCAACTTCAATCCCTTGTTGAGTATCTAAAACATTTTAAAGGAATTGTAAGTACAAAGTTGCCAAGTAACCCGTCAGATGACGAAACCATCATCATTCAACTTGAAGCTATTGCTAGGGGGATAACACTTCTCTCTCACGCGTATCTCCCTAATGACAAGAAGTTTGAAAAAATGGTCCATTCATTGCCTCAGTTGTTGGATAAGGTGAACAATGTCAAAGCTCAGCTCGAGGAAGTAATTCAGCAATTTCCAAGGACCAAATTTCCCAGGACCTTTGAACTCGGGTACTTTGATTTTCTGTGCAGAAACTTAAGGGAGCTTCTGAAGCATGATCCTGCGTCTATTACAACTATCAAACCTCACATTGAGGAAGTTCTGTTGCATCTGGAGTCTCTGAGATCTTTTCTTCCTGATGTAAAAGCTTCTGATATTGAGCTGGGGGTATTACAGGATCTTGGGAGTCACATCATAGATTTGGCATATAAACTGGAATATGTTGTTGACTCCATTGAGGTTGATGGTCATTTGCAGCATTCAATATGGTTGTATGATCTTTTACAGGATATTAAACTTGCAGATCAACGTGTACTCAAATTCCGTGACATGTCCTATGTCGGAAAAGTAGAAAAAATCCGACAGAACCCAACCCGGATGGTGTCAAGAGAAATCACACAAGAAATCAATGAATTGCTGGTTGATCTTCAAGACGAAGAAGAAATAATAATAGACTGCCTTGCCAGGGGATCCTTGCAGCGAGATGTTGTTTCGATTGTTGGCATGCCTGGCATTGGAAAGACCACGCTGGCGAGAAAAGTGTACAACAATCCGAATGTGGTGTGTCATTTTCATCGTCATGCATGGTGTACTGTCTCACAGACATACTCAAAAAGGGAGTTGTTGGTCGAGTTATTAGGTACTGTAGATGTGCTTAATAACAACATCAATAAACTGACTGATGAGGACCTCATGTCCAAATTGCGCCGATGCCTGTTAAGAAACAAGTATCTGGTAGTTATGGATGACATATGGGACACCACGGCCTGGAATGACTTGGAAAACTGTTTTCCAGATGACAAAAATGGAAGTAGAATTCTGCTAACTAGTCGTTGCCAGAATGTAGCCACAGAAATCAAACCTAATAGCAGTCCACATGCTATTCGTCCATTTTCAGATGCTGAAAGTTGGGAACTGTTAAAAAACCAAGTATTTAAAGGGACAAATTGTCCCGAAGAATTGTTGGAAGTTGGAATAGAGATCGCTCAACAATGTCAAGGATTGCCGCTTTCAGTTGTCATGGTAGCTGGTCTCCTGAAGATGTTAGAAAAAAACAAGGATTCATGGACAAAAGTCTTGAAAAGCATAAGCTCAGAGATACTCAGCAATCCAGAAAACCGCTGTCGGGAAATTTTAGAACTGAGCTATAAGAACTTGCCTGAATATCTTAGAGCCTGCTTTATTCATTTGGGAGGTTTTCTCGGGGAAAGAGAGATTCCTGTAACCAAGTTGGTACATTTTTGGTTGGCAGAAGGGTTCATAAGAGATACAGATTCGAAGAACTTGGAGGAGGTTGCAGAGGATTATTTGATGGAGTTGATTAACAGAAGCCTAGTGAACATCCATGAAACAAGATGCAATGGAAAAGTGAAAACATGTCGGCTTCATGATCTATTACGTGATCTGTGTCATTTGAAAGCAAAGGAAGAGAACTTCCACCAACTGGTAACAGAGAACGATGAACCATACGTGTCGTTCCCTGATTCAAAATATGACATGGAGTTTGATAGTGAGAATGTCATAGCTCCCATAGTATTTAATAGCTACAGATTGAGCTTTTCTGTGAAACGACCACATTTTATTGTTTCTCGTCCTTCTGGCCTCGCTTCTCGGTCCATGGCATTGTTCGCATGTGCTGATTCAGAGCCTAAATATCCTTATGACATCTCCTTCATTTGCCACAACTTCAAGTTACTTCGGATTTTGGACTTGGAAGCTGTCATGGCGATTAGCTTTCCTGTAGAAATAGGACTAATGGTTCAGTTGAGATATTTGGCTCTAAGTGGCTATATGCAGTCTATTCCACCATCAATATCCAACTTGTGGAGACTTGAAACGTTGGTTGTGAAGGGATTGCGAAAGGTCATCTTACCAGAAACTGTTTGGAGCATGAAACGACTGAGGCACCTTCATGTGAATAATCATGTCGTTTTTAGCTTGCAAGGGCTGGATGGTGGTGTCGGGAGTTCTTCTCATTTGGAACATTTGGTCAGCTTGTCTACCCCATCACTCTCCTGCAAGAATGGTAGATGGAGGATATTGAAGAGGTTTCCTAATCTCCGCAAATTGAGATGCATATTCTGGCAGTCAGAGAACTCCGCTGAAGAAAACAGTGAGTACGTAAGATGGAACTTCTTAACTCATTTGGAGTCGCTAAAGATTATTTGCTTTGGTGGAACTCCAAGTCCAAGGGATTTTCTCCTGCCTCAAAACCTCAAGAAATTGAGTCTATCAGAATTCTGTCTGCAAGAGAACCATCTTTCTGTTATTGGAGAGCTACAAAATCTCAGAGTTCTGAAAATTCATGCTGGAACCTTTGAGGGTCAGAAATGGGAAATGAGGGAAGAGGAATTCAAGGAACTCAGATTCTTAGAGTTAGATACCATGAACCTTGTTGAATGGGATGCCTTTTACGATCACCTTCCCCGCCTAGAAAGACTGGTATTACGCAATTGCAAGGATTTGAAGAGAATTCCATCGGACTTTGCCTATATTGCTACATTGCAAAAGATTGAAGTACATTGGTGCGGGAACTCTGTGGAATCGTCAGCAGAAGAAATTGGGGTTGAAACAAAGGAGATAAAAGTCATTATCAGTCACTTGTAACTGAACTCACGATCAGAGTGATATTGAACCATTTTTGTGGTACTGATGCTGTCGAAAGTAAGTTCATAGCATTTGATCGACCTCATTCATTCCTGTTTAGTGATTGTTACACTATGGTGGTACATTTGATTTAATTACTTTTGGACTTATGATCAAACCTGAAATAACGTTTGTGTCCTATCTTTGTACTGGGCAAAATGAAATTTCAAATGATTTTCCTCCAATTTGATTGCGGCACATGTTTTTCTTTGTGGTGGTTCATAATTATGTGCTTTTCACCTGCAAGTGTTTTTAGATAACCTAATTCCTGTACATTACTTTCTATATTCTTGATATTGTTTTTGTCCACTCCTTTGAAAAGCGAGTTGAAGGAGAAATTGGCTAAAGCTCAGTTAGTACTTTAACTGATTTGTTGTTTGCTTTGTGGTGTTTTTGTACTACGTTGGCTTGCCCAACTTTCCGATGTTGCTGCATTCTGCACTGCACAACAGAGTTTTTGTGAATTTTATGGCTGTCTCCTTATCAGCCAGCCAAACTTGCCTTACTGTACCACCTGCAGGCTGCAGCTGCAACCAGGCTGACCATCATCATGTCTTTTTCTTTTATTTTTTTGTTCAATTTTATGTATTGGCCAGTGCTATTAACTCGAGAGCAGACCCTTACTTTTCAGTTGGCAATGGAAATGAAATCTACCAGGGAAACCAAGTTGGAAGATATGCATATAAACTGATTTACTGTCATATTTGGTTGGTTTTTCGTTAGTTTTACTGTTTTAGGAGAAGGTTTCAGCTAAAAATGGATTTGAGTGTATATATGGGACTACTAGTTTCTAGCAGAGGAAAGTGTTTTACATGCTTCTGTCGGTTAATATCATTTTTGAGCTGTGAAGCATGTCTTTCTGATTGAGATCAAGTGATAAACTTCTTCATTCATATCCATGGTGGTCATTTGTTGTCAGTGTTTTGCAGTATGGTCTAAGGTAGAGAAATCTAGGAAGCAGCTCAAGGAAGAAATGGAGCAAAAAAGAAACAAGGAAAATGACAACTGAATTGTTCCTCTCAAGGATTTGGTGTTTGACATAATGATTGACGAATTAGAGTTTTGGGTTAGAGGTACATCATTTTGGTGAAGTGAGGATGTAAGGACCGCCAATATAGTGCTTCTATCTACTACAAAAGCATGATTTGTAACAAGGGTGGGAGAGTTGGGTGGGGTAGGGCTGTCAACGAACCGAGTCAAGCCCAAACAGTTAGGTGTTCGAGTTCGAGTTCGACAAAAAATTTGGAGCTCGCATTCGAGTTCGAACTTGGTTGAACATCTCAATTGAAGTTTGAGTTTGGCTCGAAATAAAAATGAATATCGCTCGGCTCGATTGGCTCGAATTTGTGTCTGATAAAAATTAAGCTCGAATAAATTTTAATACTTGTCATTTTTAATTCAACAAGTTCAATCTATATATTCTATGAGTAAAATTCTTTGACAATCATAAAAAATATGTATATCTCATTATTACATCTTCAAAATATAAATGACAATAATTTTTAAGAAATAAAAAGAAAAGTTTTCATAAATTATATCTTATTCATAATAAAAATAAAATAATTTATAATAAGCTCGAATAGACTCGACGAGTTCTCGAATCAAGTATATTGATACTCGTGTTCGACTCGTCTATCTAATCGAACTGTTCGAATTCGGCTTTGGTCAAAGCCCAATTCAAGCCAAGCTTTGACCAAGCTATTCATGAACTGTTCGTGAAGTGCTCGGTTCGTTGACAGTTCTAGGGTGAGGTGATTAGGAGGATTAAGATAGAGATGGTTATTACCAGAAGGTCGAGGTTCGATTCTCGCCAATTAAAAAAAAAAGAAAAAGAAAAAGTATGATTTGTAATAAAGCATCCATTTTCCATAACAAACGGCCAAGAACTTCCATTAATTATGTGTTTGGACATGATGAACCAAGTCATTCGTCATTATCATCATATAAAATACAGAAATATAAACTAACTAAAGTCATGCATTAAAGTCATCCATTATATCACTATACGATTAATTAAAACTTAAATACGTTGCAGCACAGCTGTTAATTCGTCAGTTAACGATTTTTTTTTTTTTTCATTCTACCTATTAATCAGCCGGCGTGTTAAATTTGTCATTTTATCAATTCCAGAAAACAAATTGTTCATTGTTTTTTGGCTAAAATTGATTCAATTCAACTCAAGCATCGAAAACCAACATATATTAGTACTCCCTCCGTCCCATAATTATTGTCCAGTTTTACTAAAATGAAAGATTTTATTTTTGGTCAAATTTAACTATATTTTACCTTAAACAACCGGATATACCCCTACATAAGTAATTGTTTAATCACTAAGATTTTATGGATAATGTTTTTTTACTAAGGACAAATGTGTAACTTGATTCATAAAAAGTCAAATTGGACAATAATTTTGGGACAAAATTTTTTGGGCAAAGTGGACAATAATTATGGGACGGAGTATAATTTTCCAAAGTGCTCAACTTAGTGACTCATCATTCTCAGGCCTCAGCGCTCTCACTCACCCCACTGGCTTTCACTCAGCGAAGTTTTTTTTTTTTTTGGCTAAAGTAACGATTTAGCATTTTTCTCTTTTAAATTTGTAATTATCAAAAAAAAAAAAAAAAAACCAAAAGCAAAAAGGAAGAAGAAGGAAAAGAAGAACAAGAAGAAAGACATAATTGAAGCTTCCTTAGATCATAGTTCTGCTCAATCACTCTCAAGAAGGTATGCCTTATTTTTACCTTCATAATTTTAATTATTGCAAGCATTTCACTAGTTTTTTAAGTATGAATTTACATCCACTGTGTACCCTTTAGAATCATAGCTATCAAATCACTATATGTTTATAAGATTTACACAGGTTTCTAATTTTCATGGTTAGAGGATTTAGCCTTCACTCGGGAAGTTGCGGATATTTTGCACATATTACTAGTAGTGACTAAAATGTCTCTTCCTAATCAAGATGAGGCTAACAAAATGTTAGATTTTCACCTTTCTTTTGCCATTGTTAACTGTTGATGTGCTTTTCTCCATAGGAATCTGGTATCAAGTGCTGTGAAATTATTGAGATAATACGGATATAATCCCGGTCTCAGGCATGAGTCTATCTCTGACTTTTACAGAGCTTGAGTGGTTGCTCACTGAGTTGAAGGAGTATGTTGAGAATGAAAAATCAGGAGGGCTTAAGAAACGGGCTCATCAGTTTTCTTCTGAGGCCACCTATTATTTCTATCAGCTGTTGGATTCTCTCTCGGAGAAAATCAATCAACTAGGCCTGGATTGGTTTTTTCTGGAAATATTTTGCAGAACCATCAACCATAGTGATGCAATTAAGTTTATCCGGAATGAACAATCCGTGATCGGGAAAATCTATGGTGTCGAGGATGAGATCTCTAGAGACTTACGTTCATGTAACATTCGAGATCAGAAGTTGGACCTGAAAAGGTCTCAGGAACTGCTCATTTTGCTCGCTGACGGCAAAAGAAAGACTGATGAGCTTATAGACACTCACATTCGAGTTGCTGTAATGGGCTTGTCGACATCACCCGCTCGTGCGGATTTTATTTACAAATATATTTGGAATTCTTTTCCTGAATATATCAGAAGAAATCTGTGGTCATTCAATGATGCAGGCAATGGTGTTCTAGACAAAAAGCTGGTTTTCATCTACAGTGAGCTCATATCGATCTGCATGCACTTGGACCGTATCAATAGGTCTGCATCTGCCCAAGATGATGATACATTTAGAGATGTTACCTCTGCGATTTTGAGAACTGTAGTTCACTCCTGTAATCTCTGGTTCAATAGAAAAGACCCTGAAGCTGCAAATGTTACAGCAAAGGAAATTGTGGGCTTGCTTCAGAAGATAGATCCTACAAATCTAGAGTTCCTACGGTCGAATCTTAGATTCCTGGAGACTGTCTATAAAAATCAAATCAACGCTGAGAGGCCTTCACGAGGTGAATGCCACGAAGTAGTTGTCTTTTGCCGCTATCTTCTCAATTGGTTTCGTAGAACAGATCGTGAAAAGGAGCTAGTATCACTTGTTACCTTTTATGTTGCCAGTAGACTCGAGAATGCTGAGGAGGATATTCACAATATCTTTGAAGAGTATGAGATTGAAGCAGTGTTAGCAGAGGCTGCATTTTCCTGTCGTGCAGTGCAACGTGATCTAGTAGTAGATGGCGAACAACATCCTTTCCAAGAGCACAGACAAAAGCTTGCTGCAGAAAAAGAACGAAGTCTTGCTGCTGCATTGCCACCTTGTTCCGATTCGGTAGCAAATATTTGTTTTCTGAAAACAAAGATTTTCCTCAAACAGCAGCTCAACAATCGCAATGCCTCGATGCTTTTTAGTGATAACCAGCTATTCAAAGTAGATATGATCCTCAACGACCTCAGAGCATTCAACAGACTTGTATGTCAGCAAGGGAACACGGAATTCGTGAAGCAGAGTTTAATACTTGCTGAGGAATTGGCAAATGAGATAGAATCCCTTCACAAATCATATAATTCCAGCAGGGTACTTAGTCCTTTGATAAATCACTCACTTTTGCAATTGCTTTTCAGGATTGTCTTTTTCAAGGCCGAGTCATTTTTAACCGAGTTATTGAAGAGCAGTGACACTTCCACAGCACTTAAGACAGATCAGGTTCAGTGCCTTGTAGACGATCTTGCACATTTCAAAAGGATTGTGAAAATTAAGCTGCCATGGAATTCACCAGTCGAAGAAACAGTCATCATACAACTTGAAGTGTTTGCCAGGAGGATAACACTTCTCTCTTACTCGTATCTCCCTAACAACATGAAGTTGGCGAAAATGGCCTGTTTGTTGCCTCAGTTGTTGGATGAGGCAAATGTTATCAAGGTTAAGCTCGGCGAAATAAGTCAGCAATTTCCTAAGTCCACATTTCCAAAGATATATGGACTTGGGTTCCTTGATTTCCTATGCAGAAACTTACGGGAGCTTCTGTTACGTGATCCTGTATCAATTAAACCAGTGAAACATCATTTTGAGGAAGCGATGTTGCATTTAGAGTCTTTGAAATCTGTCCTCAAGAAAATAAAGGTTCTGGATGTCGAGTTGGAAGAGTTAAAGGACATCAAGAAACACATCATAGATGCAGCATATAAATTGGAATATGTGGTTGAGTCAATAGAGGTTGATGGTCAGTTGCAGCAATCACTATGGTTATACGATGTACGGGAGGAAATCAGACTACTTTATCAGCAGGTTCGGAAAATCCCTGAGATGTCATATGCTGGCAAAATTGAAAACGTCCCAAAAATTCCATCCCGGATGGGTTCACAAGTTACAGCACCAGAAGTCAATGAGATGCTGGTTGTTCTTTTCGATGAAGAAATATAGTTGATCGCGTCATCCATGGGTCCTCACAACGGGATGTTGTTTCAATTGTTGGCATGCCCGGTATTGGAAAGACAACTCTGGCTAGAAAAGTGTTCAACAATCAAAATGTAGAGTGTCATTTTCATCGCCGTGCATGGTGTACTGTTTCACAAGCATACTCGAAAAGGGAGTTGTTGCTTGAACTGATAAGCCACATAGATGTCCGTACTGACGACATCAATAAACTGACTGATGATGACCTCATGTCAAAGTTACGCCGGTGCTTGTTGAGAAACAAGTATCTCATTGCTATGGATGATGTGTGGGATACTTCGGCCTGGAATGACTTGGAAAACTGTTTTCCGGATGACAGCAACGGCAATAGGATTCTGATAACCAGCCGTTACCAAGATGTGGCTTCTAAAGTCAAACCCGGGAGTACTACGCATTTCATTCGTCCATTTTCAGATGATGAAAGTTGGGAATTGTTAAGAAACAAGATATTTAAAGGTGGGGACTGTCCCACTGAATTGTTGGAAGTTGGAATTGAGATCTCTCAACGATGTCGAGGATTACCACTAGCAGTTGTCACAATAGCTGGTCTTCTCCGGATGTTAGAAAAGAACAAGGTTGCTTGGACAAAAGTCTTGAAAAGCTTAAGCTCAGAGATAATCAGCGATGCAGAAAATCCCTGCAAGGGAATTTTTGAACTTAGCTATGACAACTTACCTGAATATTTAAAAGCATGCTTTATATATTTGGGACTTTTTCTTGAGGACAAAGATATTCCAGTGAGCAAGTTGATACGTTTCTGGATGGCAGAAGGGTTCATTCCGGAAACAAAGTCAAAGAGCTTGGAGGAGGTTGCAGAGGATTACTTGATGGAGCTGATTAATAGAAGTCTTGTGACCATCTACAGAAAAAGATCCAATGGAAAGGTCAAAACATGTCGTCTTCATGATCTTTTGCGAGATATGTGTCGTTTGAAAGCAAAGGACGAGAACTTTGAACAGTTCGTGACCAGGTGCGATGAACCTTACGCATCGTTCCCTGATTTAGAATATGATATGGAGTTGGATAGCAAGAATCTCTTAGCTCCTATACTGCTTGAAAGCTACAGATTGAGCTTTTATGTGAAAAGACGACATTTTATCAACTCAAGACCTTCCAGCCAAGTAGCACGGTCCCTGACATTCTTTGCATCTTCTGATTCAGAGCCTAAATGTCCTTACGACATCTCCTTCATTTGCCACAACTTTAAATTACTTCGGTTTTTGGATCTTGAATCGATCATGGCAATGAGCTTTCCAGCTGAAATAGGACTAATGGTTCAACTGAGATATTTAGCTGTCAGTGGTTATATGCAATCTGTTCCTCCATCAATATCCAACTTGTGGAAACTTGAAACGTTCCTTGTGAAGGGATCACAAGGCAAGGTCATCTTACCAGAAACTATTTGGAACATGAAAAGATTGAGGCATCTTCATGTGAATCATCATGTGCTTTTCAACTTGCAAGGTCTTGATGGTGATGTAGGAAGTTCTTATTTGGAAAATTTGGTTAGCTTTTCCACCCCATCACTATCCTGCAGGGAGGATAGATGGAGGATATTAAAGCGGTTGCCTAACCTCCGCAAATTGAGGTGCATATTCTGGAATTCAGCTGAACCTTCTGAAAAATGTAGTGAGTTCATAAGATGGAACTTCTTAACTCATTTGGAGTCACTAAAGATTATTTGCCATGGTGGAGCTCCACATTCCAGGGATTTTCTCCTTCCACAGAGTCTTAAGAAACTGACTTTATCAAACTTCAGGTTACAAGAGAATCATCTTACTGTGATGGGGAAGCTGCCAAATCTTAGAGTTCTGAAACTGCGCGCTGGAGCTTTTGAGGGGCAAAAATGGGAAACAAGGGAAGAGGAATTCGAGGGACTCGAATTCTTGGAATTAGACACCATGAACCTTGTTGAATGGGATGCCTCTTATGACCATTTTCCAAGACTTGAATGGCTTGTGATACGCAATTGTAAGGGTTTGAAAGCAATTCCATCTGACTTTGCTTATATTGCTGCACTGGAGAAGCTCGAAGTGCATTGGTGTGGGCAGTCTGTGGAAGAGTCAGCAAAAAAAATTGGTGATGAAACACCAGAGATAAAAGTCATTATCAGTAGCTTATCATAACCGGGTTGATCACAAATCAATATCTTGAAGTAAGTTTGCTACATTTGTCTGTAACTTTATCCATTTCTTTTCAAATGATTTTAACTACTTATGGATTTACCAGTACATGAAATGATCAGGTGGCATCTTAGGGGTGCGATACTTTCATCCTCCACAATAGTTTAATGGTCTACTTGTTTTCCTCCAAATTCAGCTTTATCCTGTTTTATATGTCAACTTCTCTTGTCAAGGAACTCTAAAATATGCTGTGAAAATATCCGGGTAGTTAGGTTCCAAGGTATAGAGAAAAGAATGTGAAAACAGACTTAAAAAGTCCCAAAAATTTGGAATATTTTTATCAGTGAATGACTGCAAATCTAGAAGATGAATCCAATCTTGCTGGTGTTTGTTGTGTATCTATCTAAGCTAAGAACAAAAGTGCAGTTCTGAATCTGATTCTTGTGATCATACTTTTTTCCTTCTTTTTGCAGCTGCACTGATGACAGTGATGCTGGGAGGCCGGAACCAAATTGCACCCTGTGTTACAATGGCAATGTGGAGTATCATCAATGCTTCACAGTCTTCTCTGGATCATTTACAATTGAAGTTGTTCAGAAATTTATAGCATATATTACGTTCATGAAGACACTAAGGTCTTGGGATATGTATGTACATTGCTGATGCGAATATATCTGCAAGGTGTTCACCATTGACAATGGTAAATAATTTCCCTCTTCAAATCATGCTGAAATACTTTAGAGGATTTTACTCCTCGTTATTTTAGTAGTCTACTTTATTGAACTAAAATGGTGAAGTAAACTAGACTTTTGAAATGGGATGTATGGAGCATTATCTTTGTCGTCTGTCATGATTTTTAAAGGAAAATTGCTACTTCCCTTTTTCTTCTATTTAAATGTCACAGATATGGTTGTTTGCGAATAAGAAAGATATTTCAACATATGATTTGTTATCCTGTGCAAATAGAGATGGAAAATCACCAATAATTCTTTTAATTTTGTGTTGATAATTAACTAAGTCCTAATCGTTCGATTAAACTCCGGTACTTATTAGTATCAATAAAGTTGATAAAACTTAATACATGTACAATAGAAACAGTTATTTTTGTATTTAAAAACAGGGGCAAGATTGTGTGCACTTTGACTTTAAGGCCCTGATAGAGTTAGAAAGTGATATTGAGCCGTGAGAATTACAGGATTTTTGGAGTCACCTCATAGATGTCCATATATAAACTGGAATATGTTGACTCCATTGAGGCTCTAGGTCATTTGCTACATTCAGTATGGTCATATGATCTTTTACAGTATATTAAACTTGTCGATCGACGTGCACTCAAAGTCGACGACATATCCTATGTTGGAAAAGTAGAAAAGCTCCAACATAACCTATCCTAGATGTTGTCAAGAGAAATCAGACAAGATATTGATTATTTGCTGGTTGGTCTTGTCGATCGACGAAGAAAAAATAATAATAGGCTGCCTTTACCAGGGGATCCTTGCAGCGAGATGTTGTTCCGATTGTTGGCATAGCTGGCATTGTCCCGAAGAATTGTGGGAAGTTGGAATAAAGATCGTTCAAGGATTGCCACTCTCAGTTGTCATGATAGCTGGTCTCCTGAAGATGTTAGAACAGAACAAGGATACCTGTTCAAAAGTCTTGAAAAGCTTAAGCTCAGAGATACCAGAAAATCGCGGTAGGAAAATTTCTTAGTAAGTGATTGTTGCAAATATGGTACACAGTATATTTGATTCATTTAGTTTTAAACTTGCGACTAAGATACAATTGGGTGCCTTTTGATAATATTTTCCTTCGTTCTTTGGCAGATCTCGGGATGCCAGTGATGACTTCCACAAACCAGATCACGTCTTCAGTCATCGAATCATTTGACTCAGGGTGGAGTTTTAAATTGGTGAGGAAAACAGAGAAGGCCATTGGAGTCATATTATTGGTATTGATGAATATAGCACTATCTTTATATATGGTTCCGAAGATAAACTGAAAACTTTTATTAACTTGATGAAATACTTTGCTGCAATTTTGGATAAGAAATTCTCAGTTTTGTCAAGCTAGCTGCAACTTGGAAGAAAAAGAATGATCTGTTAATGGTGGTGATGGTGTGTTACCTTTTCACTTGTTGTGTTAAGGTATTCAAGCAAAGATATGTGCTCTTTTTGGGCCTTAATTGTTACTACTTCCGTCTCACAAAAAATGATTTACATTGAGTTTTCAAATTTATACTAAAAGCAGTTTAAAATTTAAAATTCAACGTGGATTATTTTTTTTTGAGTAATTCTTAGTGCAGATTATGTGAAAATCTGAACATTAATTTTCTTTTTTTTTTTTTGGGTTGTTTTGAGGGCCTTCTGATACCAAATAAACATTGCATTGCAGATGTTTACAGAATGGATCTTCTGTTATCATGGAGTTAGTAGCTTGAAAAGTAAAAGGAAAAAAGAAATTACTCTCCTTCCGCTTTGTAAAAACAATTTATACTCTAAATACTATACAATTGCAATTTAAAATGTAGACTATTTCTATAAGACGGAGAAGTATTGCCTTGCCATAACCTTAGATTTGCATTCAACCTTTGGGAAGAGAGCTGGCTGCATTTAAGGAATTACATAAACAATAACCATACACATGTGATTTCTGAAGTTAAATTATCAGGTTATTAAATTAGATTATTAATAATTTTGCAGCTAGGTAGCACCCGCTGACAAATAAATGATTTAATTAGTGTAAGATTTATTTATTTCTATATGTTTAATATTATCAGATTCATCCATCAATTCTCCATCAAGTCTAAAAGGAAGCAATAACTCGAAATCGAAACCTTCTTGACAGTTACAATTTAGAATTCCAGCAGTGTGCCGTTTCAACCCTTTCAAGCACCAAAAAGCTCTCTCCCCCTATTGGGTTCACTGAGTATTTTTCCTCAAAATTTCAGATCAAGTTCAAGAAAGAAGAGACTTTACTAATTCTGTTTACTTAGAAAGCCATTGATCATCAGCAAGGTAAGTATTCTTTTGTAATTCTGATCTTTTCTTTTCCTATTTCCTTTATAATTTCTGTGCTGTCTTCTTCTGTTTTTCTTCTTGTTTTGACTCCAGTATACGCTATACATGGTTGGTTACAAGTAGCCTTTTCTTTTTGGCCGTTGGTTTCCAAATGTTTGAAAAGGAATTGTTCATTGCTGTACCAACAAAGTGGATTCCCCGATGATGTTTGAATCTCTGGTCCTGTGTTATTAACCACATTCCACTCTTACTCACGATAAGTAAGATTTCTAGGATTTCAAAGTAATCAGGGCTATTCAAGTTTATCTGTTATATGATCCTAAAGTGTATCTTTACTTGTTGTTTGAACAATTATTTTGTGTTTTTAGAAGTTATCAAAACAAGCAAAACGTTTTTGATTTATTTAAGAGGCTGAATCAAAATTTTGCCCATTTGTTCCATAACAAATTGGGGCTTTTTTTTTTTTTTTTTTTTTTTAAACCCTTACAGAACCTTATATTGATGAGATTATATCTTCACCATTGACCCTCTGTAAATAATACTCCCTCCGTCCCATAATTATTGTCCAGTTCGAATTTTCATTTTTAGTTCAAATTGTACTAAAAGTGAAATATCAAAATGGACAATAATTTTGGAACTGAGGGAGTAATAATTTGCAGGATTTCGAAGATTTGTCGAATTTAACAGTAGCAATTCGATTGCTTGTTCTTGGTAGGACTTTGAAGATTCGTCCAGTTTGAGTCAGACACATTTTCAAATCATTGGTCAAGTCACATTGTGCAAGATTTGGTAAGCTCTGTTAGCGTAAATTGGGTATGATTAGATTAGAGAGTAATTTTGGGATTTGATTAGATTAAGTTGATATGATCTTATCTAGAACATAGGTTAAGTTGGTATCAAGCTCATTTATATGATTTGCCTTTTTTGTTAAATGCGTTATGTGTTTTGACAAATTCTTGTTTGTATACACATCCACCAATAGAGTAGTGGTGGATCTCCTCCCGAAAGTTTGACTTTGGGAGATTTTGTTATGCAGTTTCAAACATTTTTGTGCCAATAATTGTGGTTTTGTCCCCGAATTCCGGACAGTATTCACCTTGTTCTGCTCTTTCTATCCGCAGATACATGGTAGCATGTCTCATACGTGTTATACTGACCATTTAAAGAGTCTTGAGAAGTCACTCAGTGAGTTGAAAAGTTATATTGATGATGAGAAAGAGAAATCAGAAGGGCGTAAGGAACATGATGATTACTGTCGGTGGTTGGACACTCTGGCAGAGAAAATCAATCAGCTGGGTCAGGACTGGTTTTTCTTGCAGATGCTTTGCTCTCTCTTATTCTGTAGTTATAATGCAGAGGAGATCATGAAGGTTAACAGATATGATCTCTGGAATATTTGTGTTGGCGTGGCGGATGAAATTCTCGGGCATTTCGATTCGTGTGATGATGATATTCGAGAAAAGAAGTTCAACCCGGAGAGGTCTCAAAAAGTGCTAAGTCTGTTTAGTGAATCCCAAAGGAAGACTGATGAGCTCATAGAGACCAAGTTTCGAGGCGTCATGAAGGACTTACAGGTATCAGCTATTCGTATTGGCTGGTGGGAAGAATTAGGCAGTGCTAGTTCTGTTCTTCTACCACATATCGAAGTAAATCTGTGTTTCTTCAATGACTTGGGTAGTGGCAGTGTTGTTGAAGAAAACATGGTTTTCCTCTTCAGTGAGCTCAAATCAATCTGCAAATACTTGACAAGCGTGGCTGATACTTATATACAAGTTGTTAACAAGAGACTTTTCGATGTTGAATCTGTTGTCCTGCGGATTGTATGTCACTCTTGTAACTTGTGGTTCAATCGAAAAGACCACCCTGAAACTGCAAAAGTTTCGGGCACTAAAATCTTCAATTTGCTTCTGGAGATTGTTCCTACAAACCTAGAGTTCCTGAACTCAATTCTCGCACCCCTGGAATACAAGCGAGGATTAAGTTTCTTTTTCGATTATCTTCTTGCTGAATCTGATGCAGATCTTGGGAGTGTGATAAAATCCCTTGTTACCTTTTATATCGGGAATAGTCGAGAGTTATTGTCAGAGGGTGAGGATGAAATGCCCAATATCCGTAGGGAGTTATTGTCAGTTCTAGCCGAGGCAGCGGGCTTTTCCCATCCAATCATGCAACGAGATTTCGAAAAAAGGGGGTCATCATTTCTTACACACGCATTTAGGAAAAGCCCAAGTCCTCGAGCATTGCCATCTTGTTCCGAGTTACAAGCAAAGTCGTGTCTTCTCAAGGCTGAGCTTTGCCTCAAACAGCAACTCCACACTTCCGCCTCGATGCTTTTCCCAGATCCTCATCCGATTTCCAAATTCGGTACGATCCTCGATGAACTGAGAGCATTTACGAAAGATTTTGGTGAGAATGAGAAGACAGACTTTGTGAGGCAGAGTTTGGAACTTGCTGAAGAACTGGCAAATGAGGTAGAATCCCTTCACAAGTCACTTCTTTCCAAGGAGAAGTCTGATTCTCTGGTAAAACACCCACTTTTAGTGTGCCTCTTCAGGATCCTGTATTTCAAGGCTGACTCATTTTTAGCAGATTTGTTGAAGAGTAGTGACTCTTCCATAGCTCACCAGAGGGAACAAATTCACTCCCTTGTTGAGGGGCTTACATATTTCAAAGGGTTGGTACAAACTAGGCTGGAAAGTTACCCGTCAGGTGGCGACAAAACAGTCATCACAAAAATTGAAGGTGTTGCTAGACGGATAACACTTCTCTCTTACTCATATCTCACGGTCGACCAGGAGTTCGAGGAAATTGTCCGTTCATTGGATCAATTGTTGTACGAGGTGAACAATATCAAGGCCGAGCTCACATGTATACGTGAGCCTTTGGCCAAATTCGGGTTCCCCAAGAACTTTAGATCCGGATTCTGGGATTTCCTTTGCAGAAACATAAGGGAGCTTCTGATACATGATCCCGAGTCAATCAGACCCGTCAAGCATCACATTGAGGAAGTTCTGTTGCATCTAGATTCCCTTAAATCAGTCCTCCCAAAAATAAAAGATATGGATTTTGAGCTGGGAGGAGAATCAAAGGATTTTGGAAATCACATATTAAATATAACATATAAACTGGAATATGTGGTTGACTCAATTGAGGTTGATGGTCATGTGCAGTTGCAGCAATCACTATGGTTGCAGGATTTGCTGAATAATATTAAACTTGTTAATCAACAGGTCAGGGGGAAGATCAGTGAGATGTCCTCTGCTAATGGCAATGTAGAAAAGTTCCCAAAGAGTTCGTCCTGGATTGCACCAAGAGGCAATACACCTGAACTCAACGAAATACTGGTTGACCTTGTTGATGAAGAAAAGGCAATAGTGGATCGCCTCACCAGAGGGTCCTCACAACGAGATGTGGTTTCGATTGTTGGCATGCCCGGTATTGGTAAGTCAACTCTTGCTCGAAAAGTGTTCAATAATCCGAATGTGATGTGCGATTTTGATCGTCGTGCATGGTGTTATGTTTCACAATCATACTCAAAGAGGGAGTTATTGCTTGAGCTATTAAGTCATAATGATGGGCTTACCAAAGACATCAGCAGACTTACTGATGATGACCTCCTGTCTGAATTACGTCGGTACCTGTTAAAAAGCAAGTATTTGATTGTTATGGATGACATATGGGACTCTGCACCCTGGAATGACTTGGAATATATTCTTCCAGATGATGGTAATGGAAGTCGAATTCTGATAACCAGTCGTCACCAAGATGTGGCGATAAATATCAAATCTGATAGGAAACCACATTGTCTTCGTCCATTTTCGGACGATGAAAGTTGGAAATTGTTAAAAAACAAGACCTTTAAAGGTGCGGATTGTCCAGATGAATTGTTGGAACTTGGAAGGGAAATTGCTCGACAATGTCAAGGATTACCACTCGCAGTTGTCACCATAGCTTGTCTCCTTCAAAAGCTAGAAAACAACAAGGATTCCTGGATTGAAATCTCGAAAAGCTTAAGCTCAGAGATAATTAGAGATCCTGAAAATCGCTGCAAGGAAATTTTAGAAATGAGCTATAGGCACTTGCCTGAATATCTAAAAGCATGTTTTATATATTTGGGAGTTTTTCTTAAGGACAAAGATATTCCTGTGAGCAAGTTGATTCGTTTCTGGATAGCTGAAGGGTTCATACAAGGCCCGTGGAAGAGCTTGGAGGAGGTTGCAGAGGATTATCTAACAGAGCTGATTGACAGAAGTCTAGTGAACATCCACAAAACAAGATCCAATGGACAGGTCAAAACTTGTCGTCTTCATGATCTATTGCGTGATCTGTGTCACTTGAAAGCAAAGGACGAGAACTTCCAGCATTTTGTGAGCAGAAATGATGCACCATATGCATCTTTCCCTGATACAGAATATGATATGGAGTTTGATGGTAAGGATCTTTCATCACCTGTAAGACTTGAAAGCTACAGAGTGAGTTTTAACGTGAAGCGACGGCATTTCATCAATTCAAGACCTTCAGGACTGGTTACACGGTCCTTGACATTCTTCCCGTCTTCTGATTCGGAGCCTAAATGTCCTTATGACATCTCATTCATCTGCCACAACTTCAAATTGCTTCGCGTTTTGGATCTCGAATCTATCATGGCAATCAGCTTTCCCTTGGAAATCGGACTAATGGTTCAGCTAAGATATTTAGCTGTCAGCGGTTATATGCAATCTATTCCACCATCAATTTCCAAATTGTGGAAACTTGAGACCTTTGTTGTGAAGGGATTGCAAGGCAAGGTCATTTTACCAGAAACTATTTGGATTATCACAAGATTGAGGCATCTTCATGTGAATAGTCATGTTCTTATCAACTTGCAGAGTCCCGATGAAGTTGTAAGTAGTTATTCTCAGTTGGAAAATCTAGTCAGCTTTTCCACACCATCGCTGTCCTGCAGGGATAATAGATGGCAAATATTGAAGAGGCTGCCTAACCTCCGGAAACTGAGGTGTATATTCTGGCAGTCAGGGGACTCTGAAGAAAGTTGTCATGAGTTCATAAGATGGAACTTCTTGACTCTTTTGGAGACACTAAAGATTATTTGCTTAGGTGGAACACCAAATTATGCGGATTTTCTCCTTCCACAATGTCTCAAGAAACTGACTCTATCGAACTTTTGCCTGCAAGAGATTCATCTTAATGTGATTGGGAAGCTACCAAATCTCAGAGTTCTAAAACTGTGTGCCAGTGCCTTTGAGGGGCAGAAGTGGGAGATGCAGGAAGAGGAATTCATGGAACTGAAGTTCTTGGAATTGGACTCCATGAGCCTTGTTAAATGGGAAGCCTCTTATGATCACCTTCCCAGCCTAGAACAACTAGTGTTACGCAACTGCAAGGATTTGGAGCGAATTCCATTCGATTTCTCAGGTATTGTGACACTGCAAAAGGTTGAAGTGCATTGGTGCAGGCAGTCCGTGGAAGAGTCAGCCAAAGATATTGGTAATGAAACACCAGAAATAAAAGTCACTATCATTCGCTAATCACTACCTGAGAGTAAGTTTGTTACACTCTTCTGCAACTCTATTCATTTCTTTTTAATTGATTTGTGCCGATACATTTTATTCAGTTTAATTACGTTGGAGTACTTATGACTAGATTAAATTATAGATGCCTGAAACAAAGAAACTTCCATATTCAATCTAGTTTTGTCATGATCTCATCCAAACAATAATTTTGGTCATCAGATAGTTTTCCTCCAAATTGAGCTTCATTCTGTTTTATTTCGCAACTTCTCATGTTAAGTAAACTATGAAGTGCGCTATGAGATTTCCAGGTAGTGTGATGAAGTTGTTGTAATACAAAATTTTCAGGCCAAGACATGACATTCAGTTGTGATGAGTATCCGAAAAGAAATGTGAAAGCAGACTTGAATTAAAACATTTTGATTTGTGAGTGACTGCCAACCAAGAAGGAAAAGGTAGCATTGGTGCTGGTCTTTGGAGTGGTGCATCTTAGGTAGAAGATTAGTACAGTTCTGAAACTTCCCCCTGTGATCATAACTTTTTACTTGTTTTGCAGCCCCTGGTGAACGGCTGGGAGTCAGAATGCGACCTCACCCTCACCCTCTGAATCATTTGACTTGTCCCGGGAGCTTGTGGCGGCAATTACATCAGTGAGGAGAACAAAGAAGGGTAGCCTATGGGACTTGTGTGTCAAGTGAAAACTGTCAAGCTGTTGAATTTTTTTGCTGTAACTAAACACTCAGTTGTATCAGGTTGAAACGAATTCTTTTGAGTGTATGGTTTGTTCAGGTTGCCATCTTAAAGTGAATGTCAGACATGGTTTAATTGTGTATTAGAACAATCCCACAACAAAAAAAAAAAAAAAAATCCGTTGTGATTGAATTGGTATTTTTCCAGTAAAAACATGTGTTGTATTGCTAGGACTGCAAAAGCCAGAATGCCTCATATAGTCAGTCTTCTGGCTCACTTGAAGTGTAAGTTTTCAGAAAAAATGATGAGGCAGGCTATGGCATATGTATTATTTGTACTGATGATAACAGCTCCATTTGTACTTCTGAATTGGCTTGAATTTAGATGAACGGATTCAGCTAACCATTTTAGGATAGAGGGAGTACATTATAGTAAAAAATTGCAGTAATATCAGGCTGAAAATCAGAATTCCTGTTTATATGTGTAAGCCATTTTGACTCAAAAGAGAGTGTCAGACTCAGATATGTCTAGCTAAGTACATGATTAATAGGAATTAATGGGTGAAGATGATAAAATAATCAACCCATGAAACTGTGGAGGAAAATTACATTAGACTGATTTTTAGATATTGGAGAAAAATTCGACGGAAAGAGACCGCTGAGCATAGTATGATAATTCAATTATGCAGCAGGTAAAATGGTAACATCCTTTCGAATTGTTAATGGTCAATCACTGATTTATTTCTTTCAAACATCTTAATCAAGTGTCATATTTTTTAAATTCATCCTTCGATTTGTCAAGAAAACCAAGTTGTTAACGTCTTAATAAAGTGGATTATTTTTTTAAGGACGGAGAGTATACTTGTTTTTGAAAGCGCTTAGAGATGTTGATCCACCTGGACACAAACATCTGCCCAGTCCATAGACCCTCTTTTCCTTGATTATGACATTGTTAATTACTATAATTAATGAATTTCTATGTTTCCATACACCTTAAATATAAATTAATCAGCCAGCATACATGTTTGAATTGATTATTTGATTAAGTCCATTTGTTCATTTGCATACACCACCAATTTGTTTGTTCGACTATCAAGCTTGAAAACCAATTTAATCTCTCTAATTCTTTCTCAAATTAGTACTCTAGGAAGGGGGAAAAAAAATACTTGTTAGGGAATTTGATGGTAAGTTTAAAGGTTTGAATCTTCTTCTGGATCATTCCATTGGAAGAAGATTGAGAAAGAGCATTTTTTTCATGGTTCTCTTTTTTCTTTTTTTTCTTTTTTGAGAATGTTCACGGTTCTCATCAACAAGGTAAAAGTCCTTTGTATTGATCTTTTTCTTTTTTTCTTTTTTTTTGTGGGTTGTCTACCTCTAGTTTCCTTGTTGATTAAATCTATTGGTTGGTGATTCCCTGAATATATATGAACGAATTCTTGATTGCTGTTTCACTGAATTCTTAGGCTTAGTTGAATGGTAATCAAGGAAAAATAAATGCTAGAACTTGGATTCCTGAATTATAAATCTGAGAGAAATATTCAATTTTCATTGTAGCTACTACATCTCTGGCAGCAAGAGTAAATTTTGCCTGTAGAAAGCAAAAATGGGGCCAAAGATGCAACATGTTACAGATCGGAGGGAAATTTATCATTATCTGGATTCATATACTGATAAATCAAAGACTTTTGGAGACCTCCGGCGGTCACTTGAGAGGTGGAAAATTACTGTGAGCATGGGAAAATCAGGGAGGGGTAGGGAAGGAGATCATCAGATCCCTGGATTCTATACCTGCAGCGATCAATGAACGCGGGTTGGATTGGTTTTTTCTTGAGATGCTTTGGGCATCCATATACCATAGTGAGTAGATAAGTTTATCCAGAATAAAAAACCCTTGTGAAAATTCGTGTTGTGGCCGATGAGGTTAACGGAGATTTAAGTTCACATCTTCTACCAGACAGGGATGCCCCTCTCATTAGGCAAAATAGGCCATCGCCTAGGACCTCGGAATCAGAAGGGCTCCCAATTCATGTGTGTAAAGACCACTCAATATTTATTGATTCACGTGTGTTATATACTTCAAAATAATAGGGAAAGTAATTAAGTAAAATCAATAGTATTTTTTTTTTACAACAATATTGTTTTTGTAACTTCTTTTATCATTTAAATCCTAAATTATCTCAATTATATCCCACTAAATCCTACCCCAATCTTCTTAACTACCAAATCAATTACATTCCTTCCGTAAATTAAAAAATCACATGATTCTTTTCCACAAAAAAAAAGAGAGAGAAAGAGGAAACAACGGTTTTAGATTCACCATATCTCATGTAGTCATCCCATCCGCACCACTTTAACATCTATAGCAATAGCTATCACTTTCTGGCTTTTTCTCCAAATTTCTCTAATCTTCTCAATTTTTTTCCTTGTCACGTGATTCTATAAATTTTTTATCTTCTCTAATTTCTCCTTGAAATTTTATTTCCTCGAGTATTGAGTTGTTGTTCTTGGGCAGAAAGATAAATTGGTAAGATAATTTATTTTTTCCCTTTCTTTTATCTTTATGTTTTTACATGTAATTCAATCTTACAAAATATTGCAATGTGAACTATGAAGTGGAATCTCACTAGTTTTAGTTTCTGTTTAATTGATTTTTATAGAGTCGATTCAATTTTTAATTCAACTAACAACTCGAAACTAATCGTTATTTTCTTATTTTCTCAGGTTTGAGGTTCAATTTCCTAGAGATTGGATTTCTTATAAGTTGTCTAATTATCAGGCTTTATTGTTTTATCATTTTTATTCTCAGTATTTATTTAAGTTGCAATAGTATTATTTTATTAATTTAGTCAGTTTATTATAGATTCTTAATTTTTTTTAGTGATGTCCATAAGAAAATATGAATCTGGCCACTCAAAAAGAATTGAAAAAAGGAAACAAGAAGCTTTAATAGAATCACAAAGAGGGGCATTGACTAAATTTTTGACAATAGAAAAGGATAAAGAAGAAAATCCATGTGAGTGCTTTTTAAATGCACAAAGTTATCCTGTAGATGCCATTGATAATGAAATGGTAGAGGAAAAAAATGAATTAGATAATCAAAGTAATCTTATAGATATTGATGGTGATGGTTCTGTAGAGGAAGAAGAAGAATTAGATAATCAAAAAAATCCTATAAATGTTGATGATAATGAATTTGTGGAGGAAAAAGAAGAATTAAATAGTCAAAAGCCTAATGACAGTCTCGAAATTGATGATGATGTAGAAGATAAAATTTTTGAATTAAGTAATTCAACTCTTAAAAATATTTACGATCCAAGTCAATGGAAAAATATTGATATTAAATTAAGAGACTTGCTAGTAGAAAAGGGTCCATAAAATTGTAGATATAGATTTTCCAAAAACCAAAAATAGACATTTTACCTCTACTCATTATATTCAAAAGTTACCTAATAGAGAAAAACATGGGAGAAGATGGCTAATTTATTCTATAGATTTGGATAGGGTTTTTTGCTTTTGTTGTAAATTGTTTGATGCTATTCCATGTGTAAGTAGGCTAGCAAACGAAGGTAGTAATGACTGGAATAATATGAGCTCTATGCTCAAGAAACATGAAACAAGTAATGAACATTTTGCAAATATGAGTGCATGGATTGATTTGGAAATGAGATTGAAAAAAAATAAAACAATAGATAAACATATTCAAGTTCAAATTAATAAAGAGAAGGAACATTGGAAAAATGTGTTAATAAGAATTATTGCGGTTGTAAAATTTCTCGGCAAAAGAGGTTTAGCTTTTCGTGGAAAGAATGAAAAAATTTACCAAGAAAATAATGGAAATTTTTTTAGTACGATTGAGATGATTGCAAAATTTGATCCAATAATGCAAGAACATATTCGTCGAATCTTAAATAATGACATCCACAATAATTACCTAGGACATAACATGCAAAATGAGCTAATAAATTTGTTGGGGTTTGAAATCAAAAAAAAAAAAAATGTAAACAAAGTTAAGGAAGCTAAGCATTTCTCAATCATACTTGATTGTACTCCTGATACAAGTCATCAAGAACAAATGTCAATAGTGTTAAGGAGTTTACATATTTCATCAGATTATACAAAAGTTATGGAGTACTTTATAGAATTTTTGGAAGTAAATGACACAACTGGTAAAGGACTTTTTGATGCTGTTGTGGATGAATTTAATAACATGGAACTTGATGTAAATGATATAAGAGGACAAAGTTATGATAATGGGTCTAATATGAAAGGAAAAAATCAAGGAGTGCAAAAAAGATTTTTAGATATTAATCCCAGGTCGTTTTATACTCG